ATGAAGGAGAAGAATTTCTCCATCATGCTTGGATCGAAGCCCGCGCCTTGGTTTGCGGGTGTTTCCGTAGACCCAGCTGCTGGTCTCGTCGTTGTCCCCTCCTCTGTCAGTAGGCCAGAGGCAGGTGGTGGAGTAGGGGTAGTACCGGGAGAGCTGTTGGAGGAGCTCCTCTCCTTTCTAGCAGACATGTCTTCTTTGATGTACTGAGTGTTGAATAATGAATTTTAACTCTAACTGCTCTCATACCATGTTGGGCTGAAACGCCCTAGGATCTTTGTAGAGTTAAAGTTTGAGTAGATGTTGTAATAGCGGAAGCGTTGAATAAAGCTCTTGAACCACCTTGCGCTAGTATGTGAGGGCAAAGTAAGTTGATAAAAGCAAAGAAATACAAGAATATAAATAGATGAGTACAGAGGATATGAAGAGACATTATAACTAATTTTACTGTTGCGGTTCGATACAGTGCGACTCGGGCAACTGCTCAATGTCGAGTCAGTTGTTTGTCCTTGCTGTCGCGCTGCGTCGGGTCAAAGGTCGCTGCCCTTTGAGTTTCCCGTAACCTCCGACGGTTACGTTAACCTCGTTGGTTGACTCGCGCTGTTTCGACTTGAGCTGCTTCGTTTTGTGTCTTGAGTACTGACACGACAGAGGCGCTTAACTTATTTGTTCCCAACACTCCCCTTCGCTTCTGGAGTGTCGCTGATGGTGACGTGGCTTTGTCCAGTCAGCAGCATGCAGTACTCGAACTTCTGTTTTCCAAGTTTCTTGGTCAAGTAGTCGGCTGCCATCTCGGACGTGGGACAGTAGGATAGATCGAGTTTCCCTTTCTCGATTTTGTCTTTCACGAAGAAGTATCGTAGGGCGATATGCTTCGTTCTGTTTGCGAATCCGCTCTTAATGGCGATGCGAATTGCGGATTGGTTGTCGCAGAACAAGGTGAAGTTGGGTAACTCGGCTAACTTTGCTTCTTCCAGCAGCTCGCGAAGGTAGAGTCCTTCCTTGGTGGCTGAGCAAAGGGCGATATATTCTACTTCAGCTGAGGAGAGCGCAATTAGTTCCTGCTTGCTCGATTGCCAGGAAATAGGTCCGATAGGTTCTAGGCGATAGATGTAGCCAGTGCGAGAGCGCCTGTTATCTGAGTCGCCAGCGTGATCGACATCGACATAGCCGATTAGTTTCGTCGGCGTAGTTGTGTCTTTGTAGTACGTCAGGCCGATCGTTGCGGTGCTCACGAAGTAGTGAAGAGCACGGTCGAGTTCTGCTAGGTGTTCTGCTTCGGGCCTCTTGAGATAGGTAGCGAGTTGGCTAGCGGAGTAGGACAGGTCTGGGCGGCAGGTGACGGCTGCGAAGAGCAGACAGCCCAGTTTTTGCTGGTAGTCGCGTATTCCGGCGGTCTTAAGTAGAACGGAGCTTCCTTTGCCGTTTCCTGCCGTGTAGCGGTATGGCGTGTGGATAGTAGCAGGTGTGAGTGCGAACCGTTTGGCGATGGTGGCGGCGTACTTCTCGGCGCTGAGATAGATCGCATTTTCTTCTTCGCGAATGTTGAGCCCGAGATACTGAGTGACAGTAGTGGAGACCGTGAGTGTGAGGTCCTTTTTCAGCTCCCCTTCGAACCAGGTAGCGATGTCGTCGGTAGAGCCGATGTAGAGTAGATCGTCGACGTAGACAATGAGCAGGATGTAGTTGGCGCCTTTGGTGAGTCGATACATGCCTTGATCGTGAGGTAGTTGACGGAATCCGGTGCGGATGAGGCGGGTGTGTAGGTGCTGTTGCCACAGTCGTGGGGCCTGTTTGATACCGTAAAGCGATTTTAGTAGTTGACAGACCTGATTGGGTTCCCCGTGAGTACCGTGAGGGAGCTCGACGAAGATTTCGGCGTCGACGGGTGCGTAGAGGAAAGCGTTAGCGACATCGATTTGTCGCAGTTTCTTCTTCTTCATGGCGGCGATCGCAAGGAGGATTCGGAGAGAGGTGTGTCGGCTGACCGGGGCGAATGTCTCGGTGAAGTCCCGGCCTTGTTCCTGATCAAATCCTCGCACGACCCATCGTGCCTTGAACTTCTCGATTGTGCCATCTGCTTTCGTTTTGATGCGGAAGACCCACTTCCCGGTAAGGATGGTCTTATTTCTTGCTATGCTTGCTGGAACGACTTTCCAGGTGTTGCGTTCCTCCAATGCTTTTAACTCTCTGTCCATGGCTTCACGCCATTTCTCCTTGTGTTCCCCCCCCAGAGCCTGTTGAACTGTCGCAGGCTCTTTAGGAAGAGAGGAGCCATGGACTGCGGTGACGAGACCGAGAATCTGCAGTCCGGTCTGTGAGTAGCGGGGGAGTGTTGTGTCCTCGGGATAAGCTGCTTCATCTCCCGCTTCTGGGTCGGGTATGAAATTCGGTCCTACTCTTTCTGCTTCGTTGGTGTTGGCTGTTGCAGGTGTTACGTAACCATTGTCGGCGAAGTGATAGAAGACTTCGGCGTTGGCACTTTCGCGAGGATTTTCTTCGTCCATGGGGACGTTGACGGAGCAGAACGGGAGAGGTCCGGCTTCTTCAGATGCGTTGTCGACGTTCTGCTCGTCCCAGTCTGCTTCGTCTGCTGCTGAGGCGAATGCTCGGTCACCATGAAAGCCACCTGTGGGGTCCTGATTCTCGTGCAAGTTGGCGAGGTACGTCTGAAGGGTGAGTCGCTCGTAGAAGATCACATCACGTGCTGCTACTGTTTCCTTTGTGTTGACGTCGAAGATTTTCCACGCGTTGTAATTTTTCTCGATGCCGAGGTGTAGTCCCCACTGTGCCCGTTGTGAAAATCTTCCCGCTCGTGCCTCAGGGGGTCGGTACTGTACCATGCACCCAAAAACTCGTAACATTTTTGTGTTGCCCTGCTTCCCTGTCCACTGCAGGTGCGGTGATGCGTTGTTCGGGAGTGAGGACGACGACATCAAGTTGTGCAGCATTACAGCGTGGTCCATTGCTGCAGGCCACTGGTGGTTGGGTAGCCGCATGCCACGTAACAGTTTGCGCATGCTGTTCTGCAGAGTCCTGTTCATTCGTTCTGCGACACCTTGCTGCTGATGGGCGTAGGGAAGGGAGAGGAGTTGCTTGATTCCTCTTTCCGCCAGGTACTGCTTGAAGCGCTGAGAGGTGTATTCTCCTCCTCCGTCTGACTGGAAGCTTTTCAGCTGTGCTCCCGACTCTCGTTCTGCTACTGGTAGCCAGGCGGCTAACGCTGCGAGTGCCATGTCGCGGCTTGGTAGGTTTAGATGCCAGACATATCGAGTGGCGGCGTCGATGAAGGTAATCGTATAGTTGTAGGTGACTTGTCCTGGTTCACGATTGTAGAGGATGTCGCTGTACACCTTCTCGAGTGGTGCGTACGCCGGTGCGCTCGGGTTGTGATGAGGAGCGAACGGTCGATGTGGTAAGTCAGCTTCGGGGCAGGTAAGACAAGTCCCTCGTGCCTTTTGAAGTTCTCTGCCGTCGGGTAGTAGTAGGGAGTCTTTGTCGAGAACTCCTGCTCTTATCGTGTTGTTTAAGACTGTGTTGCTTGGATGTCCCAATCGTGCGTGCCAGGTTTCTTCGGAGGCGCGATGTCCGGGTGATCGTCGATACGTGTCGGAGTTGGAGTAGAAGCTGGCGACGAAGTTTGCGCTTTTGTGGGCTTCTCGTGGAGTTGGTTTCAACTGCTGTGCGGGTGTTGGTGGTTCTTCGTCGACGAGGACTGGTGTCGTTGTTCCTGCTACTGCTGCCGATGTTGTCTCTGCTGCTGTCGTTGTTGTTTCTGCTGCTGCCGATGATGTCTCTACTGCTGTTGTTGTTGTTTCTGCTGCTGCCGATGATGTCTCTGCTGCTGCCGATGTTGTCTCTGCTGCTGTCGGGTGTTGTATTGTTGCTAATGCGCGTGTTCGTTCTGCTTCAGGGATAGTATGGGAGTACCAGAAGCCTTCTGGGCTGAAGTCTGGATCAAGATCTGGAGGGTGCGTCCAGTTCTTGGGAAGGTTCGCACACTTCTAATCTAGTGGTGGTGGGCCCTTGACCCCAATAACAGAGTGAATGTAAATGCTTGAGATGATAAAAACACCAGTACAAGGAATATAAATAAGAGTACAAGGGAATTTGAAACGTCCTAGCTAGCCATGTACTCTAAGGGGTACATTCCCTTATTGCGTTGAAATCCAACCGTGCGACTCCGGACGGTTACGAAACCGTTCGGACAGAATCCTCGCCACTGCTGCTGCCTGACGCTGTCTGCCCGACGGTCCAGATGTTTCTCGTAACCGTGTGACCCTTCGCGTCACTTGCGCCCTTTCCTCTTCAGTCTCGGTAGTGTATGCTGCGTTTGCTGCGGTGAGGAGTGCCCAATAGTATTTCAGTAATTACTAGTCGTAACATTTGCAACGGAAGCAGAGGGGATGAATTAGGACGAAACAAATGGTTAGGAAAGGGCAGAAGCTGCACAGGGCAAAGCAATACACGTTGAATGTGGGGCTGGCACAAAGCGGAGGTGGTTTAAAGTGGTAACGATGACAAGCAGTCGCACGAACCTTATACAAATAGAACATTTGATCTTTCTATGATGTGATGATATCCTCGCATCCTCGCTAGTAACATTTTATGCCTTCGCGGAACGATGGAAGGCGGTGCGGCATCCTTGGGAAATGTTGAAGTGTACATCTAGAAGATACGTGGCCAGTCTTGTGTGGCTTGTTGCCAACGAAATTGCGGCATGATTCAGATGATACCCACCTGTTCCACATCAGCGTTTGTGAAGGTGTAGGTGGTGGATCAGCATCTCTCGTATGTGGCGCGCACCACAAGTGTACCCCCGTTGTAAGCATTTCAACAATCACAGGCCCATGATTCTGTGTCATATTTTCGACGACTATCGAGCGTTCTTGTGACGTGGCTAACCAATGTCTGGTGGACGTTGGGCAAGCTGGTCCCAACTCCACCTCGAAGTTCTCTGCCATTCGCTGGTCAGGATCCTATCCACTTCGATTTCCTCTACGATGAAATTTCACGTGGCTTCTGTAAGTTTCATCTATGGTGCATAGACTCGAAGAGGATTGGATGCCCTCCTGTTGTATTTCAATTGTGGCCTTGGCTTGGTTTCCACAATCCCACGCATTCTCTATCTGTCAGGCTTGTGTAGCACTCGTGCAGCTCTCCCTCCACTCCATTACAATGGCTGCCCTTGCTGCTGCTTCCCTGGCTCCGGTTGCCTCCTTGAAGGCCACCACCACGCTGAAGACCAGCGTGGCCAAGACCTTCAAGGTCGCCCCCTCCGCTGCTCGCGTGTCCATGGCCTCCTACAAGGTGACCCTCGATACCCCCTCCGGCATCTCCACCATTGAAGTTGCCGACGATGTCTACATCCTTGATGCAGCTGAGGAGGCTGGACTCGACCTTCCCTACTCCTGCAGGGCCGGTGCTTGCTCATCCTGCGCGGGCCAGGTTACCGCCGGCTCCGTGGATCAGTCCGGCCAGTCTTACCTTGATGATGACCAGATGGCCAAGGGCTTCGTTCTGACCTGCATTGCCTACCCCACCTCCGATGTCACCATCAAGACCCACCAGGAGGACAGCCTGTACTAAAGAGAATGTGATATAGGAGTTAGTACCCTTCGGCTGTATTTTTGTCGAAGTAATACAATTTTATTACGCTATCCACCTTCTTGGCTTCGTGTCGCATGCGAAAAATGCCTTTACCTGCGCCTCTTTTGCAAGACGGCAACTGAGCGGCCCATGTAACGTAGGACTGCACTGGAAGTTGCCGCCCAACACCACGAGGAGCAGACTAATCCCCTGGTATTCACTGCTGCACTCCAGCCACATCCTAACTTAGGCTGCTGTTGCATTTCGTACGCAACAGCAGCCTTTCTGCTGTACGCAATGACCCTTCAGGCAATTACCGTGACATCTTGGGTCTGGCTCGTGGTGGCACTCGGCAGTGCTAATTGGATTGAAGGAGGTACATAGAGGGTCACTCTACCCAGGTGGCAGCCATCACTTGCTTGCATTGCATCCCTCCAATTCTAATTCAACTGATGGTAAAGATTTCTACGGACGTGTACACAAGGAATTTCACTACTTAGAGGCAAGGTTGTTTGAAACGGGCCTGGAATGTGGTTCCTCTGCCTTGTCATGTCAGCTCTTTGCTGGCAAGACAAGCCAATACCATATGCCAATCTAATATGCTGAGAAGTTAGTGAACTCCTTGGCACAATTTCTCATATTTAACCTTTTATGAAATAAAATGTTATGTATGGCACTCCATGTTGGAGCTGAAATCAGCTGATAAATATGACGCCTTGAACCTCTCCCACCTTTTATCTTCTACTGTACATCAGATCTACTCCACTGCTTGACCACTAATGTTTCGCTTTCCCATTCTGGATGCAGCCACCTTCAGCATTTGAAAGTCATCTTTCTGTCATGATCATCGACGTGGTTGTACCTCCATGGGCTCACGCTATGATGGATAAATTTGCTTGACTTGCAGGACGTGGGTAGCATCTGAATTGATCAGCGATGAGATTCATCCGGTTTCGACGTGTTTTGTCCTGAAGTTTGCCGAATTGCCTGTTAGTAGTTTCCTTGAAGGATCGCATCATGGAAGTTCCGTCAGCGATCACGGGGTTGAATGCTTCGACGACCGTGCGTGTTACGAGCTTGACGAACTTCATGTCCGGGGGAGGCACTGATATTGCCGCGCTGACGCTGTTCGTCAGCCTTCTGTGCGCGTGCATCGTCGTTGGACACTTACTGGAGGACGTGCGATGGATCAACGAGTCCGTCACAGCCATTATCTTTGTAAGGTCTCGTCTTTCCTTCGCGAAGATAACGTATCACGTCCACAGGATGTGTCAAATTCATGTCGATAGGCTGTCGATTGTGAGATTTCTCACGTGCGAAAGATTCCTAAGAGGCCAGGATCCACGCAAGCTTCGTGCTTGAACTGCCAGCTCCGCCTTCCGCTTGTCGTTCACCTTTTTCACTGTCCGCGGACGTATGTCGATGATGGCATGGCAGGGCCTGGTGACCGGCGGCGTGGTGCTGCTGGTGCGCAAGGGGAAGAGCTCCCTGGTGTTGCGCTTTGACGAGGACCTGTTCTTCATCTACCTGCTGCCTCCCATCATCTTCAACGCCGGGTGCGTTCCCACTCCCCCACCCGCAACGCATGCTTGCTCATGCCCCATGCCAATGCTTCTCTGCTTCCAAGGCGAGTTTTTTTGCGTCGCGTGCGTGCTGTTGGCGTCATAGCTAGCTAACGTGCTGGCTGGCTGCGTGCGAGACTGAGGATGAATGCAGGCATTGGGGGAGAGATAGCGGGATGCAATGAGATCCGCGGAAGAGCTGGGAAGGGACCTCGCTTGCACATGCCCTTCCGTATACACCTTGGCGTCCTGCATCGCAGAGTCGCAGTGCAGTCACATCAGCGCACTCTCCGCTCTCGCTCGCGTTCTCCTTCACCTCGCACACCCTCATCCGCAGCCTTCTGGCTCCTGGTTCCCCCTGTTCTCCCTGTTCCCCCTGCTGTCCCTGGCCCATCTCCTCTTCCCTGGTCCCTCCTCCCCCCACGCCCCCCTCTTCCCCCGGTGTTCTCCGGCGCTGTCCGTTCGGCCATGGCAGGTTTCAGGTGAAGAAGAAGCAGTTCTTTCGCAACTTCGGAGCTATCATGGCCTATGGCATTGTGGGCGTCTTCATCTCCTTTGGAGTCATCTCAGCAGGTACTACCTCTGCCCTGCCTGCCACACGTACCTGCCAGCAGGCTTGAAAATGGCTCGTCTTGCCACTTGCCTCTCTTCCGTTTTTCTTTTCTTTTTCACGAGTGATATTGCTCAAGTATTATTCTGCAAGTGTGCTCCTCGTTCTATTTTTTCTTCTTTTCATCCGCGAACTCGTGGTGCTTTGCCTCTGCTGTCCCTTGCATCCCCTGCGTGCCTCACAGGGTGCAGGAGCCTCTTTGATCTTCTGGGCCTTCCACCACAGCACAGCCGCGTGTACCTTGGTGAGGGGCTGGCCTTTCTCTTTCTCAGCACACCTGCAGCACCTCCGGCGTGGCGTCCTAGTGTGCTCAACGGGGATGTTCTGGTAGTAAACCAGCGAACAGAAAGGAAACAGGAAATAGCGTCTGGTCGTTCCGTGTGTATTGCTGCCAGGGAATCCACTGTGATCATCTCTTTGGAAGTCTATATGTATTCCTGCTCACCTTCATCCCGCCCTTTCCCACCCCCCCTACTCCTCCCTCTGTCCCTCCCTCTTATCCACGGCACCCCCATTTGCGCTCGTCATCATCTCGTCCCCCATGTGTACTGCTGCAGCGCTCGGCGTGATCTTCTCTGCAACCGATTCCGTCTGCACATTACAAGTGAGCCCACCACACGCTCTCTCTCAACTCATCCATTCCTTTTCCTCCACGCTCACCCTCTAACCTCCATTCTGTATCACCACTACGCCCCCTCTCAAGCCCTCCAAACCCACGCCCACACCCAAAACCCCTTCCCCTTTCCATGCCTACCTTTTTCACCACTCTCGCTCCTCTCTCCCGCCCCCCTCCCTTCCCTCTCCCATCGTGCCTGCCCCCCCGCACGGTCATCAGGTGTTGGACCAGGGCGAGCAGCCGCTGGTGTACAGCCTGGTGTTTGGCGAGGGCAAGGTTTTGAGGCGTCTCAAAACAAACCTCCCCACCCCCTCCCCTCTCCTCCCTCTCCCTTTTCCCCTTTGCATTGCACGCTCCATCAGGTGTTGGACCAGGGCGAGGAGCCGCTGGTGTACAGCCTGGTGTTTGGCGAGGGCAAGGTTTTGAGGCGTCTCAAAACAAACCCCCCCACCCCCTCCCCTCTCCTCCCTCTCCCTTTTTCCCTTAGCATTGCACGCTCCATCGGGTGTTGGACCAGGGCGAGCAGCCGCTGGTGTACAGCCTGGTGTTTGGCGAGGGCAAGGTTTTGAGGCGTCTCAAAACAAACCCCCCCACCCCCTCCCCTCTCTCTCCCTTTTTCCCTTTGCATTGCACGCTCCATCAGGTGTTGGACCAGGGCGAGCAGCCGCTGGTGTACAGCCTGGTGTTTGGCGAGGGCAAGGTTTTGAGGCGTCTCAAAACAAACCCCCCCACCCCCTCCCCTCTCCTCCCTCTCCCTTTTTCCCTTTGCATTGCACGCTCCATCAGGTGTTGGACCAGGGCGAGCAGCCGCTGGTGTACAGCCCGGTGTTTGGCGAGGGCAAGGTTTTGAGGCGTCTCAAAACAAACCCCCCCACCCCCTCCCCTCTCCTCCCTCTCCCTTTTTCCCTTTGCATTGCACGCTCCATCAGGTGTTGGACCAGGGCGAGCAGCCGCTGGTGTACAGCCTGGTGTTTGGCGAGGGCAAGGTTTTGAGGCGTCTCAAAACAAACCCCCCCACCCCCTCCCCTCTCCTCCCTCTCCCTTTTTCCCTTTGCATTGCACGCTCCATCAGGTGTTGGACCAGGGCGAGCAGCCGCTGGTGTACAGCCTGGTGTTTGGCGAGGGCGTGGTGAACGACGCCACGTCCATTGTGCTCTTCCGCGCCGTGCAGAAGCTGCAGCACGATGCACTCGACCTGCCTGCTGTCGCCGGCATCGCCTCTGACTTCCTCTACCTCTTCACCGCCTCCACTGCCCTCGGCATTGCTGTGCGTGCTCCCCTGCTCCCTGCCATGGGCTGCTGCTGCTGCTGCGGATGTAGATGCAAAGAGAAGAGAAGGGGCAGATGATTTGCTGGATTGACTGTCGGATTTTACATCTTTTGCTTGTCATGATCCACGTCTACACACTCGCCTCCCCCCGCCTCCCTTCCCACTTTACCCTTGTGTGTCTTCTTCGTTCGTCGCTCTGTGACCTGGCATCACGACCCCACATGATTCTTGCTTTCTTGCTTCCAACGTTGTATTTTCTGTCGCTGTGCGTTTATTCCCAATTAACTGCGTGGCGTGACTCAGTTTGGATTGGCATCAGCGTTCATAATCAGGAAGCTCTATTTCGTCGGGTACGCTTCCATCATCCCTCTCCCAGTTCGCCGCACCACTGCTCCCACTTTGCTCATCAACGTCATCCTTGCTTATTTCAATTCTGTCGTGATATGACAGCCTGTCACCCATAGCCGATACTCCCGCCGGGCACTCTCTTGCTGCTCCATGTCACCTCTCTCATCCGTGCTTCCCACTGGCAAAAGCCTCCGCCCCTGTCCCATCCTCTGAATGCAGCCCCAGCTCGAATATTACGCGTTTCTACTCCTGAATTCCTGCGCCCATTCCTCCTCCCCCCCCCCCCCCCCCCCCTCCCCTTCCCCCTCCTTTCCACCCTGCCCTCCTCCTTCCCCATCACACCCGCACTCCCTTCCCGCCACGGCACCCGACAGGCATGCGACGGACAGGGAGGTGGCATTAATGGCGCTGATGGCGTACCTGTCGTACGTGCTGTCAGAGGTCTTTTGAGACCATTCAAAATTCCCCGCTCCCCCTTGCCCCCCATCAGGCATGCGACGGACAGGGAGGTGGCGCTGATGGCGCTGATGGCGTACCTGTCGTACGTGCTGTCAGAGGTGCTGGAGCTCAGCGGCATCCTCTCCGTCTTCTTTGCCGGCATTGTCATGAGTCACTACACATGGCACAACGTCACTGAGAGCTCCCGAGTTACCACCAAGTGAGTGTGAGCAATGTTCCATGTGCCTGCTCCATGCTGCTGTGCTGATGGCTGCTTGGGGATGCTTGGGGCTGGGGCGAGGGGTATTTGGGACTTTTCTCTCTGCTCGCAGCTGCCTAGTTCACTGGCACCTCCTCGCCTCACACTGCCCTTCCCCTCTCTGCCCTCCCTCTCTCCGCTCTGCTTTCTCACTAAACCGACCTGTGTGGTCTACATCCCCTGTTCACCCCGTGCAACCCATCCACGACATGCGTGTTGGGAGGGCAGGCATGCGTTTGCAACCATGTCGTTCATAGCGGAGACGTTCATCTTCATCTACGTGGGCATGGACGCACTCGACGTGGACAAGTGGAACTCCGTCAACCACAGGTGTGTGCGTGTGCATGTGCGTGTGCGCGTGGTGTGCGTGTGCGTGTGTGTGTGTGTGTGCGTGTGTGTGTGTGTGTGCGTGTGCACGTGGTGTGCGTGTGCGCGCGTGTGTGTGTGTGTGCGTGTGCGCGTGGTGTGCGTGTGCGCGTGTGTGTGTGTGTGTGTGTGTGTGTGTGTGTGTGTGTGCGTGTGCGCGTGGTGTGCGCGTGCGTGTGCGTGTGCGTGTGCGCGTGGTGTGCGTGTGTGCGCGTGTGTGTGTGTGTGCGTGTGCGCATGTGTGGTAAATGTGGTGCCCCTCCCTGGCCAGGCCAACCTGGCACGGAAGGTGTGGTTGGGAGGTAGCTGTTCGGGGTCGTGAGCTCTTGTTTGCTGAAGATGTGGTGCTGAAGGCTGTTTTGTATATTATGGTCTTTCTTTTTTGTCCATGGTTCCTGCCCAACTGCTGGATGTGTCGGTGGTCGGAATGCCCCTGCGATAGACATCCGTTGTTGCTTCCAAGTTCCAACCTAAACTCCGCTATCCTGATTTGCCTTTCATGGCCCTCCCTTCCTTCCTCTCTCCCCATCTCCCTGCCCCATCTCTCCCAGGAATGCAGGCGTGCTGTTTGGCATCCTTCTCTCGCTCGTGCTGCTGGGGCGTGCTGCCTTTGTCTTCCCGCTCTCCTTCCTGCTCAACCTCCAGCGCAAGAACAGCCGAGTGCTGCTCCCCCAGCACCAGGTGGGTTGCCGCGCCCACCGCCTTGGAACACCTCCCACTTGTTCCCACTGGTTCTTTATTATTCCCCCTTGTTGCCGCCGCTTTTCAGTTGTTCCTGCTGCTTTTCACTAGTCCCCACTGCGTTTCTCTTGTTCCCGGTACTTTTCACTCTTTCCCGCACTTCCAGTTGTGTATCTCTCTGCCCATTCTCTTACCTGCACACCACGCCCTAATCCCCATTCCATCTCCATTCCTTACTGTTCCTGTCCACGCTTGGCAGGTGGTCATATGGTGGGCGGGGCTCATTCGTGGTGCTGTCTCCATCGCACTCACCTACTCCGCAGTGCGTGCGTGTGTGAATGAAACACGTGCATGTGGACACTTAGTGATAGCTGTTCACTCCACCTGTTTCCTTACACATGCATCTCGACCTGTTGGCATGCCAATTACCATCTGTGTCTATCTTTACGCTCCATCTTGGAGGCTCCATGCCTCCCTTCTCACCTTTTCAGGTGTCCTTTTCCTCTCTGTCTTCTCTCCCCTTCCCTCCCATTCCCTCGCCCGCCCTCCCCGTCCCCGTGCAGTTCCCGGACTATGCAGACCCAGTGGTAGCAACCACAATAGCTGCCACGATTGCTCTCGTGCTCTTCTCCACAGTTGTGAGTGCATCTCCTATTGTCACCTCCATCTCTCTCTCCCACTTACACCTACCATATCAGTTCTCAGAAGGTCCCTTCAAAATCTTCCAGTGGATGCTCAGTATTGGCACCTTCAGGATGCTCCAGGAAAGTACTTTGTCCACTCTTCTCCCAACGGCTCTTGTCTCCCCCTCACTCTGTCTTCCATTGATGTATAGTCCCTCCAACCTCTCCCACCTCGCACCGCCCACAGGTCTTTGGTCTGCTCACGAGCCCTCTCATAAACCACCTCCTGCCTCGCCCTCTTGATCGCTCCTCCAGCCTCGTCAGTGACGCTCTTCCCTCGCCCAAGTACCTTTACTATCCGCCCTCCCTGCCCCGTCGCTCCTCCTCCTCCTCCCTCTCTCTCGCCCTTGACATCCCGCCCTCACCCGTGAGTTGCGCCTCTGGTTTATCTGCGCCTCCCCGGCCGTATCGCTCGGCCGCACCCGGTACCTCTCACTCCGCGCCTTCCTCTTCCTCAGCCACACACGGCGCTGCTGCTTCTTCCCGTCCCTCTCGTATTCTCCGCTTTGCTGACCCCCCTGCTCCCGATGCTGCTTCTGCCGCAGCAGCAGTCGCGGCAGCAGCAGCTGCAGCGGCAGCGGCAGCATCAGCGGGTGAAAGCTCTTCCTTTGCGGGTTTCACTACAGCAGCAGCCGCAGCAACAGCAGCAACAGCAGGAGCGAGCAGCGGTGTGGTTGCTCCTCCACCTGAAGCAGCAGTATCCTGCCTGCCTCCCAACACCCTACCAGGCCTCACCATGCCAGACCAGCGATTTACGTCTCGGCTGCTGTCGGCAAGAGAGAGTGATGTGCATGACCTCTGGCGCTGGTTCGATGACTCCTACATGCGACCCATGTTCGGCGGCAGGGGTTTTGTCCGACCGTTTTCTGCTGCCGCTGCCACTGCTGCTACTCATTCCTTTGCAACTCCGGTTGTGCCGACGCCACGAGCCATTGCCGCTGCCGCCGCTGCTGCTGCCTCTGGCGCCGCTGCTGGTGCTGCTGCCTCAGCTGCTATGAGAGCGAATAGAATCCAATCAGGCGAGGGACTGGCAGGGTTGCGAGTGAGTCTTACTGATAGGTTGCTGGCAGAGGGTGGGGAGGTGAGGGGTGTGGAGGAGTATGTAGAGGAGGAACGGATGGTTTCGGGAGGTTTGCTAGGGGATGTTCTGCGGTTTGGAGGGGAGTGGGAAGCACAGGGGGATGATGCTCGGAGGTCCAGCAGTGGGTGGTGGAGCATATCAGAAGAAGGGGGGGAGAAGGAGTCTGCAGGGGAGCAGGGCGGGCGGAAGGAGGAGGAAGGGGATGCGATTGAAGGGGAGGACTTGGCAGATTGTGATTCAGCCTGGCCTGCCCGCCTGCAATCACCTCGGCCCCATGCGTCCCCTCCTTTCCACTCACGGCCATCCCCGGATCGTGGAACATGAGAAAGAAGCTGATGCTGCTCGGCTCGGTGCATTGCAGCTGCTGGTGCATCGTGGTCTGACTGGGCAGCAAGTGGCACTACCTGTTGGTTACACATGTTGGGAATGTTACCACTGGCCATGTTGAACTGTACTAACACATAAGTCTGTTATGTACAGATCTGTATAGTGGAGTGGTTCGGAAGTCTCGTGTTTTCCACGAAAGTAAGCAGACTGTTCTAGCTGTCAACCCACTTCATGTGCACCAGATCTGAGCCTCTGGTTCTAGAAGCTCGAGGGTTTAACGATCTACATGAAACGTCGCTTTTGGCACTGCAATGAATCATGCGTGAGCTACCGTACTGCGGTGCTGCAGGCATTGTGCATGTGGTGAGGTAGCAAAATGCTTCAGGTCAATCCTACTGGGGTACCAGGTTACAGCAAATGCTCCATCATTTTCTAAGGAACAATTACAATAGCAGAATCCGCACATTCCCTGCACTGCACCTACCGGTATGCACATGGGTCAATGCATGCGTTGCAGCAACCATACACAGCGCCATCAGGCCTCCATCAACCGTACCAGCGGCACTAGTTGGTCACTGATTGTCAGCCTTCTCCTCACTTGCACACTTGTGTGTGTATGCTGAGCTGAGCATCACAATTTCCTCCTTCCTCCCCCTGCCAGCGGGACAATGCGTATCCTTTGCTGCCGCACACATAACCCAATGACCTGACCACGTCTGCCCTGCAGCACACTGCAACAATGTAATCCCCCCTCCTTAGCAGCACTACTAGAAACCATACCTACCACCCCAATACACCACACAGTGCAACCCTCCCCCATCTCCTTGCTTTCCCCCCCCTCCTCCTTCAACCATCCTTCTTCCAATCCTGCACCCTTGCTGCAGCCAAGGCCCCATGCCATCCATACACTCCTTCGTGGCAGCCCAGTGCAGAGCAGAACTCACACAACGCCTTGAGGTAGACACGTGTGACAAAGTTATTTTTGAGACGTCTCAAAAACAACCAAGGCCCCATGCCATCTACATTCCCCCTTACTCCCCTATGCTCCCCTTTTCCCCCCTTACTCCATTCCCCCTCCTCCACTTCCTCCTCCTCCTCCCTACGCCTTCTCCTCCCCTCCCCCATCTCCCAATCACCACCCGCCCCCAATATCCCAGTCCGCATGCAGCCACATGGGCGCGGAGGCAGTCGGATGCACGTCCGGCACCACGCCGCCAAAGAAATCCCCAAAGTAGTCCGGAGGCTCGACAACAAATTTCCCGATGATGTCCCTCAGCGTCACCACGCCCTGCAGCTCGCCCACCTCGTCCGTCACGTACACGCGGTGCACGCGCGCTGCCTGCAGCGCGTGCATCACGCGGCGCAGGGGCGTGTTGGCACGGCAGCGTGTCGGGGGGATGGCTGCTGGGGAGATGAGCCCGGTGGAGGAGCCGCGCCCCTTGGCTATCTCCAGAAACTGCGCCACTGTCAGCGACCTGTGGGGAAGGAGACAAGGGGGGATGAGGACGACAGGGGGCAGGCAGGGGCGAGACCGGGGACGTGGAGTCAGGTGCCTTAGTGGGGATCAAAAGCGGGGAATGAGGCCTGTGGTGTGGAGGAGCCGCCCCCCTTGGCTATCTCCAGGAACTGCGCGACTGTCAGCGATCTAGGAGGAAAAGCGGAAAATGGTGGGAGGTGTATTAGAAAGAACGAAACGGGCATGGTGTGAGAGAGGGACGGCTAGCGGTCTTGCGAGTGGTGGGGTGGGGATGAGAAGGCAAGTGTTCCTCGTGCTGCTAACGCACTGACCCCAACGCTTCCACCACTTGTGCTTTCCCTCGCTTCACTCCCTCTCCCCTCTCCCTCTCCCTCCGCCCCCCACCATCCCCCTCGTGTGCGAGTGAGCATGACCTGCAGTCGTGGAAGAGCTGGGGGGCGACCAGCAGCAACCGGATGTCGCGCACGCTGATGCTGCCCACCACCCTTTTCCATCCTCATGCCCCCCTTTTCCATCCTAATGCCCCACCTTTCCTTTCGGATTCTCGAGTCATTTTCTTTTACAAGCCTAAACGAAACCTTCCCTCCCTTCTCTTCCCCCCTTCTCACTCCCCACCCCCCTTCCCACCCCTCGCCCCATTCTTCCTTTCCCCCTTTCCCCAACCCATTCCCAGGTGCAAGCATGACCTGCAGTCGTGGAAGAGCTGGGGAGCGACGAGCAGCAGCTGGATGTCTCTCACGCTGATGCTCCCCACCACCTGCCGCGTGCCCTTGGCCACCACCGGCACCCCCCCCACCCCCGCCGCCAGCATGCGCCGAAACGGCTCCAGCACCGGCGCATCGTCCTCCACCTGATAGGGCGGGGGGGAAACGGGAAATAGGAGGGAGGGACGGTTGATGAGGAGGTTTTTTAGGCACAGCCAGCCACTCCCACTGCTAGCATGCGCCGAAACGGCTCCAACACCGGTGCGTCCTCCTCCACCTGGTGAGGGGGAAGATGGGAGGGAGGGTGTGGGGACGGATGGGGGGATTTGGGGTGAATTTGCTGGAGAAGAGACGTGAGGGGTGTGCTAGGGAAAGGTGGGTGAGTTGGAAGATGAGCGAAAAGAGGGAGGAGGAGTGGGAAGGGTTGGAAGGTGACGTTGAACTAGAGGGAAAAGTGGGGGAATGAGAGTGCAAGCCGGAGGGAAGAGAGGAGATGGGGAATTTCACCAGAAGAAACCCGGTGAGTGAGGACATTGGGAGGCCAAGCGAGAAGAGGGTTTCACGCCTTCTCATCGCATCCCACCCCACCCTACCCCACCCCACCGCGTCTCACCACGACCACTTTATCTCCGGGCAGCGTGGGCAGGCCGAGGTCGCAAATAGGCCGGTCCGCCAGGCGGTCGAACCAGGGCAGGCCGTGGCAGTCAGAGAGCACCTCCACCACGCTGCTCTGCGTGACCAGGTTCAGCACGGCCGGCTGGCCCGCCTCCACCACGGGCACGGATCGCACGCGGTACTTGGACACCAGCAGGAGCAGCGTGAGGAGCGAGTCGTCGGGGGTTACCGGGAGGAACGGCGCCCATCGGAAGGATCCTGCCACGTCCGATACCTGGTACGGGGGGAGAAGAGGGGGGGGGGAGAGGGTTTGGGAAGCGGTTTATTTTTTAGTCAGAGTCAAGAATCTGGAGGAGGAGGGGGGGTGGTTAGAGAGTGGATGTTTTAGACGGCTCAACGAATAGCCCACTCCAACGACCCTGCCACGTCCGATACCTAGTATGGGGAGGTTCGGGAGAGAGAGGGGCGAGCAGGGCAGGGGAGCGGTTGCAGTAAGGGTGGAGCAAAAAGCGGGGTTTATGGTTGAGGGTCGAGGAATGGGACGTGAGGGAGGGTTCTAGAGGATGGATGCGTAGAGAGAGTAGACCGGAAGCTGAGACCCACGCCTGGAACCAGGCACGTGGCGTAGGCACTGACCCTGAAACCCTCAAACCCTGACCTAGAAACCCTGCTGATGTTACCTTCCTCCCTCTCCCCCCTCCCCCTTCCCTCACTACTCCCCTTTTGTCCCGACCCTTCTCCCGTCCCCCTTCACCCCGCCTCACCCACCCTCGCCACCCACCTTGGTGTTTTGAAACTCGTCTGCTTTGAGCAGCAGAGAGAAGAAATCTCCGCCCAAGCTGCCAGCAGGGGGAAGGCCCCTCTCTCCAATGCCGCTGCCCACTGCTGCCGCCACCGCCACAGCTTCCGCCGTCACAGCCGCCCCCCTTGCTCCTCCCCCCCCGCCCCCTTCTGTTTCTTCCGCTGTGCTCCCGCCTGCCTCGTCTCCCCTGCCCTCCCCCTTCTCTGCTCTTGCTCGGGCTTTCATCTGAGATGCCTGTGGGGAAGGAACACCATGGCGGGTGGGGGAGAAAAGGTTGGAGACAAAGGAAGGGTATGGGGAGGAAGAAACGTGAGGGGGAAGAAACGGGAGGGGGAAGAAACGGGAGGGGGAAGAAACGGGAGGGGGAAGAAACGGGAGGGGGAAGAAACGGGAGGGGGAAGAAACGGGAGGGGGAAGAAACGGGAGGGGGAAGAAACGGGAGGGGGAAGAAACGGGAGGGGGAAGAAACGGGAGGGGGAAGAAACGGGAGGGGGAAGAAACGGGAGGGGATGTTAAAGGGGAGGACGAAGGAAGTCGAGGACGGAACGCAGGGGGATAGGCGAGTAGAGATGTGAGGAGAAAATACATACGGAAATTGGAGCATTAGAATGGGGAAATGTGAGAAGGAGGAGAAGAGGAAAGGAGAAACGAGAGGAGGAAATGGAAGGCAGGAATGGAAATCCGGAATGGGGAGGGGAAAAAAAAGGAGGGGGGATGCGAGGGCAAGGAAAACGGATGGAGGACAGGGAAAAGGCGAGGGAGGTTGATGGCCGATAAGAGCATATGGAGGAAGCAACGAAAGGGAAGCAAAGCAACAGCACGTGGAACAACATCATCTAGGCGCGCTGCGTCGGTATCTTTCTCCCAAGACCTTCGCTGCTGCTTGTTTCCGTCGTTTCCACAATGGCTAGTCTGTTTCTTTGTTGTCTCTGTGTCTGCGTGTGTCTGCGTCTGTGTCTGCGTGTGTCTGCGTGTGTCTGCGCGTGTCTGCGTGTGTCTGCGCGTGTCTGCGTGTGTCTGCGCGTGTCTGCGTGTGTCTGCGTGTGTCTGCGTGTGTCTGCGTGTGTCTGCGTGTTCAACACTCACAATTCACTACCGAGTTGATCTCGCACGTACCCAAGCGACCCTCACAACCGAGTTATCAACAAATGAAAACAATTTCACTTTTTTTTCTCTCTCTCTTTACTCACCACTTCTCTTGCACGTTCAAGCACACCCACCCCAGAACCCACCCGAGCCAGCACCTACCCACCACAACACCCACCCGCCCGACCCCTCCCCTCCTCCTCCCCCCACCCGCCGCCCGAACCCGTCCGTTCCTCCCAGCACTCACCCGGCCGAGCACCCAGAGCACGATGCCGGCGAGGTTTTTAAGTCGCTTCAAAAATCACCCGCCCGAACACTTCCCATCGTCCTCCCCCAACACCCCACCCGTCCGTTTCGCCCAGCACTCACCCGGCCGAGCACCCAGAGCACGATGCCGGCGAAGTCGAGCAGGCCCAGGTAGCGGTCGATCCAGCTGCTGTCGGCGGGCGCGTCCACGTTGCGCACGGGCGCGGAGAGAATGCCGTGCCGCGACAGCAGGTGAATCGCGTCCGCCACGCTCGCGTCCGACGCCACCTCGATCACTGCGCGCCGCCACGTGGCAGCCGAGCGGGAAAGGAAAGCGGAGAAGGGAGGCGGGTGGGAGAAAAGGAGCGGGGTGGGGGCAACGGGGGGAAGTGGGGAAAGGGGGGAAGGGAGGGAATAGGGGGAAGTGGGGAGGGGAAGGGATGGAAGACGGGAAGGGAGAAAAGTGGGGGAGCAAGCAGGAGGGAGGAAAGTGAGACGGAGAAAGTTTGAAGAGCAAAAAGACAAGCCACCAGCTCGCACTAATTAACAACGAAAAACAAAAACCATTCCAGCCACATCTCACCTTGGCCGGAAGCCACGGGAGGGAAGAGCGACACGGGCAGCTTCTCAAACGCCCAGTTCAGCGCCGCCTGCTCCGTGTCGCCGCTCTCTCCCGCCACCGCTTTCCCTTCCGCATCCTTAGCTCCGCCGCCCGCATTCTCGCGGCGCTTCTTCTCCTCCTCGTCCTCCCGCTGCTGCCACAGCTCCTGTATCCGGCTGCGCAGGCTGAAATGCCCGTCGCGCTGCCGACCAGGCGACGCCAGCAGCTCCGCCATGCTTCGGCCGGCGGGCGTGCCTAACAACGTCCTTAACGGCGGCGCGCGTTTACGCGACTTTGTGCGTCGTGTTACGAATTGGGGAAGGGCGAGTGTGAGAAGGTGGATGGAGGGAGAGAATGCGTGTGCTGGTGCGAGAAAGGAGCTCTCTCACTCCACGCTGTCTCTGAGATAACTTTGCAGCAACGGAGGCACAGGGATATGTTCTTTGTCTAGACAACGCGCACCCGTGATACCCTACCTATCGCATACCACTAAAATAGTCCTAAATTACTGGGAAAACGAAACGAAATTGGCTTGCGGGAGATTGGCGTTTACTTTCTGTTGACAATATGCTGTTGACCAAATGTGTAACAAGGGGAACTAATAAGCACGAACTCGGGAAGTTACAGCAAGCACAGCCAAGAAGAGGTGGAAAAGGAATGGCGGGCAGCGCAAATGGCGCAAAGCGAAGCAGCGTGCAAGCCAATGAAGGGAAGGAGTTATTTTAGCAGCAATGCCAGGAAATCTGCATTAGCTGGAGGAGAGTCAGCCAAACAGTGTGGAAATGCAACGTTGGAATTGCTGAGCTGTTGTCATATGAATGGGACACTAGGCCTTCCAGCATCAGCATGACGTGGTCCAGGGCATATCTGGGCTGTGTTCGGTCAGGGCTTCGGGCATTCCCAAAATCAAGAAGCATTTTCCCCCAACCTAGTAAAACCCGATTTTGCTGTTGCCAAAACGTGCTGGATGCCGAAACTTTGCTGGTCAATATGGAGATGAGACCGATTGATGCTGATTGTAAGGAAATTCCCTTCTCCTTACTTCGCGTCCCTGCTCAACGCGTACATCACTGTAGCACCTCAGTCAGCACCGTTACCACTCGCGACCATCGCATCATTCATCATCCCGCCCTTTTCGCACATCGCATCCCGACCTCACGGCTCGGCTGGTAACCCGCGCTCCGGACCTACGCTTCGACACTTTCCCAACCTCAGTCCCAGGCTCGTCGCGCGACCATTACCGTTACCACTGTAGTTTCGCTATATAATGTTCGCTCATGCCTTCGCTCATTTGTATTCTTGCTTCGATAGTGCAATTCTCGTTCGTTCACTCAATTGCACTCGTAACACTTGGTATCAGAGCCTACGATCTCATCTCGGACCGCATCCACACCTTCGCTTCCCACTATCTCAATTTTTGGGGGGGGGGTAGACGTCTCTCAGCGACACAGCACCGCCGCTCGTAGTGCTCTCTCGAAAGCACGCACGGCCACGACCGAGGCTCTCGCTGAGCTTGCCCGACACCCCCGCCATGGCCGATTTCAATCTCGCCACGTTGACGCAGGAGCAACTCGATCGTCTCGTGCGTCAATTGGAGGATTCGGCGCTCGAAATCGCGACTCTCACGGCGGAACGTGACTCCGCCCGTCAACAGTCAACAGTGAACGTACCGACGACATCACACGCACCAACCAATGCATCTGCACATTCGGAGGAGCCCATCGTCATCTCATCCGGCACACCAACGCAACACAACAGCACGGGACAGCGCTCAGGCGCAGCCAGTGACGGCGCAGCCCAACCGATGCCCGGCATGGGAGGGAACAGGAGCGCATTAAGCCCACGGGAGCCCCGAGAAGCCCGTCGGCATGTGGAGTTTGCAGCGACAAGTGGCGAGAACGCCATGATGGCCCCAATGCCACTCAAGCCGCAACGCCCGCCCTGCTTCGACCCAAGCCAACGCGGCGGCCCGACAGTTCAATCGTGGGTCTTCACGATGAATGTGTTTTTCGACGCCAACTACGTCGAGTCGGACGCCGCCAAGATCCGGTATGCGGTTTCACTACTCAGGGGCCCCGCCATGGACTGGTGGCGAGTCATTGTGACGTCGCCGCGCGCCTACGAGCCACCGTCGCACGAGGAAGGGCCCTCGGGTCCAGCTGTTACCTGGAGTTCGTTCTGCGAAACCGCCCAATACAGCACGTGGGATGCGTGGTGCGCAGGGCTTCGGGCGCGCTTTGAGCCGATCGCGGCCTCGATTTCGGCGCGTCAGAAACTGCGCACTTGGCGCCAGCTCGGGTCAGTTCAAGACTACACCAGCGGGTTTCTCGCACTTTGCGAACAGGTCGGCTACATGCACGAGGCGGAGCGGGTGGACCGTTACGTCGGAGGGCTGAAGCCGGACATCTCGCACGAGATAATGCTACGCGGGCTCTCGAATTTCAACGAGATCCTCGCGCTCGCCGAGAAAATCGATATCCTACGCCGACCGAGACCGGGGTCCTATTACGGACATCGTCCTCGGGGACCGACCGAGCACGCCACTGTACATGCCGTCGCAGCGAATGCAGCTGCCGCGCCGTTTAGAGGGCGCTGCTTTGCTTGCAACCGGCCGGGCCATCGCAAGAGCGAATGTCCAGAGGAGTTGAGGCGTCGAGGAGCAGAGCAGGGGAGGGAGTCTTGGAGGCAGGGAAACGCCAGCAGTCAGTAGAAGTTGGGCCAACTACTGACGAGACTGCCTGCTCGCCCAACCACACCGACCCTCACCGAGTCACAGTACCGATTCACGCCATCGATCGGGCTCGGATGAATAAGGAGGGTACAGCGACGGATTGCCCGGTACTGATCTACGGGAAAATACAGGGAGCAGCAGTGAAGATCTTCATTGACGGAGGAGCAAGCCACAGCTTAGTTAATACCGCAACCGCACGAAAATTACAGTTAACGCTTAACCGATGTTTACCTGAGATAGATGCACGCTTAGTCGACGGCACGCCCCTGGCCATACGGGAAAAGGTGGAGCGCGTAAAAGTCCGCTGCGGGGGGAACTTCGGGTTTACACAGGAAATGCTCGCGACGACACTGGATGGGCACGACATTTTATTGGGACGTGATTGGCTGCGACGGTACAACCCACGGATCGACTGGACGACGGGGAGCTGCACAGTGCGAAGTAGTGGTAACTGGATCGTTCTACCTCGCTGGCAGCCACCCAAATCTTCGACGGTCCAAGTCAACGCCATCACGATGAAACGGGCTGTCGCCGCTGGAGCTGACGTGTACGCAGTGGATATCGCACTCGTAGAAAAAGATGAGCAGCCGAGTGATTTGGAGAAACTGCTGGCAACTGTACCGACCGAACTACAGGCACTACTGAAACAGTTCCAGGGGATATTTCCGGATGATTTACCACAGGGACTGCCACCTCAGTGGGCGCACGACCATAGGATCGAGTTAGAACCGGGGGCACAACCAGCTGTACAGCGGCAATTTCGACTGACACAGCCCGAGCTCGACGAGTTAAGGAAGCAGTTAGATTACCTGTTAGAGAAGCAGTTTATCCGACCGAGCTCGTCACCGTTCGCCGCACCGATACTGTTCACACCGAAAAAAGACGGAGGGTTCCGCATGTGCATCGACTAACGAGCGCTTAACAGGGTAACAGTCAAATCGCGATACCCCATCCCCCGCGCCGACGAACTCATCGACCAACTGCGAACAGCACGAGTCTTTTCGAAAATAGATTTACGGGGAGGTTACCATCAGATTCGGGTCGAACCATCGGACTGCGCCAAAACAGCATTTAGGACTAGGTACGGGTCATTCGAGTATACAGTAATGCCATTCGGGCTGACGAACGCGCCTGCGACATTTCAGATGACCATGAACGAGGCGTTTAGACCACTTTTAGATAAATGCGTGATCGTTTACCTGGACGATATTCTAGTTTACAGCCGGGATAAGCAGCAGCACTTAGTGGATCTTGAAGCAGTTTTTAAGGTTTTGGAGGAACATCGGCTACTCACCAAGGGCTCCAAGTGCGAGTTTTTTCGGGACAGGCTAGAGTTTTTGGGTCACGTCATTTCGGAGGCTGGGGTTGAGATTGACCCAAAGAAGCTGGATACGGTAAAAGCGTGGCGCCCCCCGACGAACATCACGGAACTGCAGAGTTTTTTAGGTTTTGTTAATTACGTTCGACGGTTTGTGCCCGACATGGCACGTTTAACAGCCCCACTCACTGATTTACTGCGTAAGGGAGTCGCTTTTACGTGGGGGGAGAAAGAGCATGCTGCCTTCTCTGCCCTGAAAAACGTTCTCTGTTCACCACCCGTCCTACGCATCGCTGATCCCCACCGCCCTTTCGAAGTGGTTACCGACGCAAGTGACATCGCCATCGGAGCTGTACTGTTACAGGACTTCGGCGACGGCCTCCAACCCATCGCCTACGAATCACGCAAACTACATCCGCCTGAGCGAAATTACCCGATACACGACCGCGAAATGCTCGCGATCGTGCACGCATTCAAAGTGTGGCGCTGCTACTTGACCGGCGCAGACGTGACAGTACGGACAGACCATCGATCTCTACAGTACCTCCGCGCACAGCCCCACCTCAACCCACGACAGATTCGATGGCTCGATTTCCTCGAGTCGAATTTTCACTATACGGTCACATACAAAAAAGGAGCCTCGAATATCGCCGACGCACTGACCCGCCCCACTGCCCAGATCCACGCGATACTACTCGCCCAGACCAGCCCGCTACTGACAGGCCTATTTACCCACGGATATCAAACAGACCCGTTCTTTACAGGAGGCAACTCACAGCAATTCGCAGCGGCAAAAGGAGTCTATTACGTAAAAGCTGGAACCGACCGCATCTGGGTACCAGGATACACGCTACTGCGGGAACTACTGTTACAGGAAGCACACGACGGAGTTACCTCGGGACATTTCGGGGTAGAAAAAACACGGCAGCAGCTGCAGCGGTACTACTACTGGCCAGAAATGTTGACCGATGTGCAACGACACGTGGCATCGTGCCCCACTTGCCAGCTCATGAAGTCAAGCAGGAAGCGGCCGGCGGGACAATTACAACCCATCCCGCCCCCAGAGCGTGCTTGGCAGCAGGTGACGATGGATTTCGTCACGGGGTTACCAGCTGGGGCGAGTGGGAATGACGCGATCCTGGTCGTCGTCGATCGACTAACGAAGATGGCTCATTTCGCAGCATGCAGGAAATCAATCACAGCCGAGGAAACCGCCCGACTCTTCATCACCACCGTTGTTCGACTGCACGGGATACCCGCATCGATCATCAGCGACAGGGACACGAAATTTACAAGCAACTTCTGGAGGAACCTGTGGCAGCAGTTCGGCACGCGCTTACAGTTCAGTTCATCCTATCACCCCGAAACCGACGGACAGACGGAACGGACAAATCAGACCATGGAGCAGCTGATTCGAGCCACGTGCGACGATCCGAATACGTGGGAACAGCAGCTGCCACTCATCGAGTTCGCATACAATAACGCACCATCAGCCACGACGCAACAGTCGCCGTTTTACTTGAATTACGGACAGGACCCAACAGTACCCATGACACCGAAACCCGACAACCCCGTCCCACGAGCACAACAGTTCGTCGAGATTCTGCAAGCAACACGGACGAGGGCAGCAGAAGCAATAAAAAAATCAAACATCATCGCTAAACGCAACGCCGATCGCCATCGCAGACCCGTTACTTATCAGCCCGACGACCTCGTTTTACTCGACACTCAGAACCTCCGCCTGCCCATCACTCCAAAACTCCGCCCTCGATACTGTGGGCCATTTCGAATCAGTCACATGGTTACGCCAGTCACCGCGCACCTCCTCCTCCCTGCTGACTGGTACGTCAGCCCCTCGTTCCACGTCAGCTTACTTCGCCCTTACGTGCCATCCACCAGCCAACTCCCACGACATCGACCCACCAGCATGACACGACCACCAACCGAACCAGTCATCACCCCCGACAAGATCCTGAGCCACAGAGTTCGCGACCCTCGAGGAGCCCGAAAAGTGGAGTTTCTGATCCGCTGGAAAGATTGTACCCCCACCGAGGACAATTGGGTTCCTCTGGAGAAAGTTGAAAGTCACCCTGTCGTCACCGACTACCTGCGTAGCCGCAATTTCCGAGACATCCACGCGCTTTCATAAGGAGGACCTCCTTAGGAGGGGGGGTAGTGTAAGGAAATTCCCTTTTACTTACTTCGCGTCCCTGCTCAACGCGTACATCACTGTAGCACCTCAGTCAGCACCGTTACCACTCGCGACCATCGCATCATTCATCATCCCGCCCTTTTCGCACATCGCATCCCGACCTCACGGCTCGGCTGGTAACCCGCGCTCCGGACCTACGCTTCGACACTTTCCCAACCTCAGTCCCAGGCTCGTCGCGCGACCATTACCGTTACCACTGTAGTTTCGCTATATAATGTTCGCTCATGCCTTCGCTCATTTGTATTCTTGATTCGATAGTGCAATTCTCGTTCGTTCACTCAATTGCACTCGTAACACTGATATATAAGATTGTGTACAGCTCCATTTCTCATCCCTTTAAGCTGTGTTGTTCCTTTTCTTTGTGGTGAAGTAAGCTGTGATCCTGTATATGTCATTTTTTTGTAGAAATAATAACATTATTTTAATATTATACAATAAAATTCGAAATCTCACGATCTTGCATATCTGGATATAGACTATCATCTTTGTCTCAGTTTCTTCTAAAGATAGGGAATTAATGTGCAGCACCGGGCTACGGTAATCATTCTGATCATTTACGTTCACAACTTGACTGTACCGAGGTTGAGCAAACAACCTCTATGGTATGGCATGGCATCCACACAGCCATGGCCCATGCCATGCCCACAGCACACAACCCCAGGAAAGTGCATCTGACCTCCACCCTGTCCCCAACCGACTAATCGCGGCTCTCCTTGTCAGGTGCAGTGGCCCATGCCAGAACCACCATCCCATCCATCCAACCACTAACCACTGTCCGCTTAGCTACCGTTATAATATACTCAGTCAAGTATCAGTCTACGATTCACAACGGCTGCTGATTACCAGCACGTGAGAAGTTAATCTTGTCGGCGCTGAGGAGCCATTTCCATCAAGACATCCAGGTAAGGCTGCAACCAGGACCTGACGTTAATCGGTCAATCATCCCTTCCTCCTACTCACTGAATCTGCGAGTCTGGCTATTGCCGAATCTCATCCGCGAGAAATTTAGCCCGTCGATTTGAGCAACAGGAATTCGGTGTCGGTCCACGCACGCTGGCCGTTTGGCTTCCGAGATCCGACTTTTTGTTGTTGAGAGTTTTTTTGGACGCAGTTGCACAGCTGCGCGGCTGAACGAAACTAGTGACGCGGTGCCTGGGAGAAACATACCACGCCGTTTTCGTAGGCTGGCTTCTATCCATCCCTGTGCATACCGATTGCTCTACTTCTTTCACCGGATTACACGTCATCGCCTTCATTATCTGTCTGAGTTCCGTCCTCCATCCGTCGGTATCTGCCTTCCGTACCTTCCTTCCGTACCTGCCTTCCGTATCTGCTTTCCGTACCTTCCCTCCGAACCTGCCTTCCGTGCCTGCAACGCATACCTGCCTTCCGTGCCTTCCTTCCTTGTCCTGGTCGCTCTGTGCGTCTCAGGTTCACCTTCAGCTTCAGCTTCTCCCCGCGGCTCTCCACGGCTCCACGATTCCTCACTTACACGATTTCCCCGCTTCCACGTATCTGCGATTCAATCCCATGGGCCGAGGCCACCAAACGCATCACCCTTCCTCTTCCACGTCCCACGCTCACTCCTCTCCGATAACCGAAACCATCTCTCATCTCTCCTCCGCCGATCCCGCACCGGCGGAGCAGCGGAAGCACCTTCCGCACCCGTTGCCTGAGGGGGACATGCGCAACCAGTCGCAGCAGCACGCGTGCGCCGCGCAACAGCCGGCGCAGCCTCAGGGAATGGCGTTTACGGCCGGTATTGGAAACGGGGTCTTTGTCCCCGCGCAAGGTACTTCCGCGCACCATCCGCTGCCTCTTTCCCCGCCCTTCGATCCCGCCACTGCTGCTGCTGCTGCATCCGCGGCAGCGAGTGACGTCAGAACCGCCGAGACCCCTCATCACAACGGCGTGGCGGGGGGTGCGGCCGGCAAAGCGGTAACGGCGCAGCGAGGGCAGTCGAACAAGCGAGCGGCGATTGCGCTCGAGGGGGACGCGGATGGCGGGGAGTTCCTGGAAGGAGCGTCCGTATCTGCGACTCAAGAGATGGTTCTTTCCGCCGATAGTGCTTCCGCCACCGGCACCTCCGCGCCGCCAGCAGGTAGCGCCAGCGCACACTCTGGAGAAGCGCTCGGCGCACGAGTTGCGGAAGGGGGGGATGCGGGGAACTGGCGGGCACCAAGCGCAGTGGCAGCAGGGGCGCTCTTTCCCCTTGTTGCTCCGCTCTTCGCCCCACACGCAGCGGCAGAAGCCAAGGCGGGAGCAACAGCACGTAACTCTTCACACGCCGCAACACCTGCAGCTGCAGCGACAGCAGCAGCAGCTTCTTCCAATGTCACCGCTGCTGCTGCTTCTGCTGCTGCTGCTGCCGCTGCCGCTGCCGCTGCCGCTACCGCTGCTGCGTCTATCCATGCTACGTCTCTGCCTGCGCATGCTCCGTGCTTTCCGTCCGTGTCGTCGTCGCTGCCCCTGTCAGCAGGCAACTGTGCGTACCCATGCCCACTCGCCCCGGCCAGCCTCTTCCCTCTCCCATCCCCCTCTCCCTCTCTCCCACTCGGGGCTTTTGGATTTGGCGGTGCTCATGCAGGCTCGTGCGCAGCAGGCGCAGGCGCAGGCGCGGGTGCACTCGGCGTGGATGCCCCCATCTGGCCCGATGCCAGCTCGCCTGCGGCCGGTTCCGCCCTTCCGCCTGCGCTCTCTTCTGCCGCTTCCGCGTCCTCGGCGTTCCCCTTGCTCCCGCACACCCACCCCCAGCAGCAGCAGCAACAGCAACAGCCACAGCAACAACAGCCACAGCAGCAGCAGCAGCAGCAGCAGCACCCACCTATTATCCGGGCTGCTAGACCCCGCAAGGGGACGCGCTTTGTCACCCGTGCGGCTGCTGGTACTGGCGCAGGCGCAGGTGCTGTGGGCAGCGGCGGAGTGGGAAGTGGCGGCGGCGGAGCAGGCCTTGGCGCCAGCGGAGGCAGTGCTGTTGGCAGTGCCGCGGGCAGTGCGTCAGGAGCTGCTGGTATCCAGCTGTCCCTTCCCTTTGCGCCTGTTCTCACAACGCCTGCTGCTTCTGCCGCCGCCGCCGCCGCCGCCGCCGCTGCCGCTGCTCCTGCTGCTGCTGCTGATGCCGGTTCCTCCGCCACTGCCCCTTCTACGGTTGCAGCAGCCCCGACAGCAGCCGCAGCAGCAGCAGCAGCAGCAGCAGCAGCAGCGGCGGCAGGCGCAAGTGGCGCAGGCGTGAGGCGCACTGCGCAGGGGTCTTGGGGGGGAAGTGCCAGAGCGGGACCGGGGGAAAAGGAGGGCGGTAGCGATGCGCTGGCAGGAGTGGGGGACAGGGGGGGCGCAGGGAAGGGCGGAGGGGCAGCAGGGGGAGGAGGAGGAGGAGGAGGAGGAGGAGGAGGAGGAGGAGGAGGAGGAGGAGGAGGAGGAGGAGGAGGAGGAGGAGGAGGAGGAGGAGGAGGAGGAATAGGAGGTGGTGGTGGAATATGCAAGTTAGCTCACTGTGGGTGTCACCACCACCACCACCACCACCACCATCACCACCACCATCACCCGCAGCAGCAGCAGCACAATCACACACCAGCTGGTGCCAGGGAGACGTCAGGCAACAGCAGCAGGGGAGAGAGTGACAGGCGGTTCGACGTGGGCAGTGGTACGGGTGGGGAGGAGGAGCGGGTGGCGGCGCAGGTGGAGGAGGTGGAGGAGGTATCAGAGGAAGAGGCGAACAGGGCACTGAGCGAGGCGGTGAAGGTGGGGCAGTACGGCGTGCTGTTTGCTGCGCTGCGGCGCTGTGGCGGCAGTGCCAGCAGTGCGGTGCTGGACAGGGCGTGTGCGTGGCTCATGGGAAAGAAGCGAGCGCTCAAGGCAATTACCACCTCGGAAGCCTCGGCTATTTTCCATGTAAGGGCAAGCCTGGGTTTCCCTGTCCTTCTGTTCTCCTTTCTTTTCCAGTCAACGCATCTGTACCATTCTCTATTAGGCTTGTTGGTGCGGGCTCAATGAGGGCAGTGTCGCATGACTCTTGCGAATGAGTGCACAAAAGTTCATGAGACAGCTCCTAAGGTGAGTATGGTTGGGTAAATCGTAAGGGAAGTAGTATTGTTGTATTGTTGTTATAAATTGTGCTGTAGAGTGTACGGGTAAGGGGGGGGGTTTTGTGGTGATATTAGAATTGTGGCAGGGATAGAAGAATCGAGGCGGGGCCTCTCGAAATGAGGACGGGACGACGGCTGACCTGGCAAGGGCCACCGGTGAAGCGGAAAGGGGACAGGGGTGACGAGGCTTGCCCGAGTCGCATGCATGGAAAGGAGCCCAAGGGTTGGGCGGTGCGAGAGGTAGTTGGCAGACCCCAAGGCACAGATTCACGAGGGGTGACAGGAAGCCAAAACTAGCACAGCAAGGACACCAATTCACTTTTGTTTGTCTTCTCGTAATTGTGGGAAAGCTTGTGATTCAGTTGTGATCTGTCGTCAAGCTGAGCAACTGCTAGATCCACGTCGGAGAAGCCAAACTAGTGCGGCCATTTGTGCCTAGGGAAGGAACCTAGCCACTCGCGTCGAGGGCTTCTTTACAAACAAAAGTCATGGCGGGCATGTCACTACGTAGTGGTGCCAAGCTGTCCGGAATGGGAGAACCACCGGAGAAGGAAGGAGTTCCGGCGGGGAACGAAGTGGAAGGAAGCCCGGGGGAGAGATCCGATCCCGAGCGAGTAACTGCCCGGAATGACGCCGAGGACAAGGGCCGGCGGGAAGAACGACGCGGAGGTGGTATGACCCCCCGCGGATCGGGACGATTTGCGATGCGCGCCGAGAGAACCCAGGGAGAGCTGTCGCCGTCAGAAGAACAGGCGACGGTGGCGGGGAGGGGCATCGCTGCGCCAGTTGCCAGATCAGAAGGAGGAAGGGGAGGGCAGATGACGCCATCCGGAAGCGGGAATTCAAGACGCTCGCTGTGGGAGGAGGGGTCACGCTACCGATACACCAGCCTCCCTAAGGTGGAGGTTCCGAGTCGCTTCAGTGGAGATCAAGAGTCGGGACCGAGAGTGAAGACCTACGCGATGCACGTGCGGAACGAGAAATACGGATGGGAGATGGACGGCCTGGATTTACGGCACTTCTTCAGATCTTTGGGGAACACGCTGGCGGGGGAGGCGGAAGCGTTTTACCTGGAGATTAGGGACCCGCTGCTGCAGGAGGAAGAGCGAGACGAGGAGGGCCGACTGCTACGGGACGAAGAAGGGAAGCCCATCCGCTTACGGGACCCGACGGAGCGCTTCCTGCAAGAATTGGCGGCGCACTTCCCCACGCAAACGCCGGCCAGGATGAGGGAGTTCGACCAGTTGAGACGAGGTTCACGAGAGTCTCTCCTGGGCTATTATCGGCGAGTGCATCAACTGGCGGAGGACATCGGCTGCAGCGAACCGCGTATTATAGTAGCCAAATTTTTGGACGGCCTGGCCGGAGAGCTAGCACGGACCGTGAGGGATCGGACATACGACCTGGGTCCCAACGCCACGCTGCGACAGGCGTATGAAATCGCATGGCGACACGAGCAGTCCCTGAGCCTCTATGACCTGGGGAGGAAGACCGAGAAGCCGCCCAGGGAGAGAGAGCGCAGGGGAGTCGGCTGGGGAGGGGCCCTACTGGCTGGGGAGGAGGCGGAAGAGGAAGACCAGGAAAGGGATCGAGCCTCTAGGAGTCGGACGCGGAAGCCTCGCAGCGCGGCCCACTCTCCTGGAGAAGAGCCGGTCTGCTACAAGTGCCGGGAGCCGGGGCACTTCAAGAGGGACTGCCCCAAGCTGCAAACCTGCTCCTATTGCCAGAGAAAGGGGCATCAGGCTGACAATTGCTACACTAAGCAACGCGAGCAGAAGGGTCGAGGGGGAAGGAGAGGAAGGATCGAGGAGCTGGAAGAGGAGCTGAGGAGGCTTCGGGCAGAGGAAGAGGACACGATGGCAGAAGAGGAAAAGCCAGTCCACGTCGCAAGGTACGCGGAAGAGTCCGACGAAGAAGGACCGGAGCCCATCTTCATGGCGGCAAACCCGGGGAGGGAGAGGGAAGACCTGGGCCTGCGTAGTGGTGCCGCAGACGGCCGAAGGGGCACGGCGACAGTAAGGAGGGGACCGCGGGCAACAGTAGACGAGGCCGTAGAGGAGGCGGCAGGAGCAGCGGAAGAAGCAGTGCAGCGGGCGGTGGCCCGAATGGGGCCCAGGAGGCACCCGTTTGAGAGGATGGCGGCTCGTCCTTGCGTGGTGGAAGCGCTGGAGGGGACGGTAGCAGTGGAAGGGAAATACCCGGGCACAACAATCATTGATACCGGGGCGTCCCAAGTGCTGGTGGGAAGGCGACTGGCCGAAAGGCTGGGACTGCATCGGGCCGAGAATGTGACGCCGGAAGGAGTAAGGATTCAAACGGCGGAAGGAGGGGATGGAACATGGCTACCGAGAACCATCCGACCCCAAGAAGTGGTGTTGGCGCCAGGAAGGGCCGAAGAGACCAGAATCCGAGTACACTGTCTGGTATCCGACTCGGAAGACTATGACCTCGTGCTCGGTATGGAGCTCCTCTACAAGGTGGGGGCAGTGGTGGATACGTGGGCGGAGAGGGTCACCTACCAGCCACTGTATTGGGATTCAGAAGCGACCCGTGCTGGAGAGGAGGGAGCAGTCCTACCGGCGCGCTTTCTGCGAGGAAGGGTGGAGTATCGAGAGCCGCATCACCAGCGGGTGCCCGAGCAGCGATGGGAAGATGCGGGAGTGTACCTGGAAAGGGCAGCCAGTCGACGAAGAATGGAGGAAGCGGCTGGGGCGAGGGTGGAGGAACTGAGGGAGGCCAGAGGACTGGCCGAACCAGCCTATGACTTTGAAACTTTCAATCGGCCGGTACGGCTGGTGGAATTGTTCGGGGGTGTCGGCCCGGGGCTGGCCGCCTGTGTCCGTCTGGGCATGGTGGTGGAGCGATGGACCTACGTAGAGAAGAACCCAGAGGTCAGGAGGATGGCGATGCATCACGCGATGATACTGCACGAGCGATTCCCAGACAAGCTATCCAGAGACGTAGTCGAGCAGGCCCGGTTGGAGGCGGAAAGGATGAGCGATGTGACGGAGGTGACCGAGGAGGTGGTAGCAAGCTGGGGGCAAGTGGACCTGCTGGTGGCGGGATGGGAGTGTCAAGGCCTGTCCAGAGCAGGAAGAGGGAGAGGACTAGAAGGCCCCAGAACGGCTCTATTCCAAGAATTAATTCGGGTGATGAAGCTAATAAAGCGAAGGCAAGGCCCGTTCTCGTACGTGGTGGAGAATCTTGACGTGGCGGATGATGAAAGGAGCTTAGTGAAGGAGGCGCACCGGGCGGTCACACGGGAGCTGGGCCATGGGGTAGCATGGGACGCAGCACAGATGGGTGCTCGGGCACATTGGATCCGGCGGTATTGGCAGAACATGGTCCCAGAACCAGTGCTGCGGGACCAGTTGGGTCGCATGCGCCGGCCATTACCCCTGCTGGTGCAGGATATCCTGGAACCGGGGAGGAGGGTGGCCCCAGTGGTCAGCCCGGACATAAGGACGCAGTACCCGTGTAACGAGGTGGGGGCACCACGGCAGGCCTGGCCAACTCTGGTGTCGACACCGGGGAGCTATGCCTTTAGCATGCAAGGGGATCAACCGGGACCGGGAATGGTACAGGTGCTGGCGACGGGGGAGTGGGAGGAGCCACTAGCAGTGGAACGTGAGAGAGCCATGGGCTATCTGCGAAACGCGACGGCGGCGGAAGGGGTGTCAGAAGAAGTGAGGCGGCAGGCGCTGGGAGGAGCTATTGACCAGCATGCCTTGGGATGGTTGCTGTATCGCGCTGAAAAGAGGCATGAAACGCTGAGAGCGCAGCTGCTCATGCTGCAGAGGTACAGGGACTTCATAGAGATGACGGACACGGAACCGGAGATGGCGATGGAGGTGGCGGCTCAATGGAGGCAATCGGCAGTATATCAGAGGGAGGAGAGAGCGCGAGAAGAGGACCAGTTCAACCGTCAAGGGATGGTATTGATGGCAAAGGGAGCAAGGGCGGAGAGAAGCAAAGAGAACACTGAAGGAGAAGTAGAAGGAAGGGAGGAGGCACCGGTGGAGGGAGCACAGGACAGAGCCGGGGAGTGGCAAATGGGGGACGGTCTTAACGAGGGACAAAAGGAAAAGATGAGGAGAGTGTTGGGGGCAGCCAGAGGGGCATTTGCATTTTCTGTGAAGGAGTTGGGCAAGTGTAATCGGGCAGTGATGGACATAGAGCTGCAGAGCCAAGAGCCAGTGTACCAGAGGCGGAGACGGATGAGTCCTGGAGACCGAGACATTGCGGAGGAGAAGTGCAAAGAGCTGTTAGAAGCGGGATTGATCCGGGAATCCACCTCCGAGTACGCGGCAGCAACCGTGGTGGCAGCTCGCAAGGACCTAACAGGAGAGACGATATCAAGGCGGATGTGCGGTGATTACAGGGGATTGAATAGGGTGACCAAGAGCGACCGCTATCCCATGCCGGTGGTTGAAGAGCTCTTTGATGAGTTGTCGAAAGGATGGGTATATACCACGCTGGACCTGAGACAAGGCTTCAATCAGATACCTATCCGAGAAGCAGATAAGCACAAGACGGCCTTTCATGGTCCCGACAAACTTTATGAATGGAATTACATGCCCTTCGGTTTGAAGAATGCGTCAGCCCGGTTCCAGAGGGTCATGGATCAGGTGCTTCAGGAATTGCCGTGCGCCCTCTGCTACATAGATGATGTGATCATCTACAGCCCTGATGGGGAGCAGCATGTGGAGGATGTGGCCAAAACACTGAAGGCCATAGAGGCGGCTGGGCTGACCTGCCATCCCGGCAAGTGCACCTTTGGGGTACGAACGGTAGGGTATCTCGGGTTCCAAGTGGGAGAGGGCGGAATGACGGTCCAGCAAGCCAAGGTGGAAGTAGTGGACCGCCTCCAGCAGCCGACCGACCGGAGCATGCTGAGAGCGCAGCTAGGGTTCTTAAACTACTACAGGAAATTCATCCCAAACTTCAGCAGGACGGCGAAACCACTGAATTTGCTGCTGAGGGAGGATGTCGCCTGGGAGTGGAAGGAGGAGCAAGAAGCTGCCTGGAGGGTGCTGAAGGAGGCAGTAAAAACCGCCCCTGTACTGCGGCTGCCAAGACAAGATGAACCCTTCCTGCTATACACTGACTGGAGTAGCGGGGGGTTGGGAGCGGTGCTGTGCCAATTGGAAGAGGGAGTGGAGCGGGTGGTGGCATACGCCAGTCGTTCCTGCAGCCCAGCAGAAAGCAACTACAGCTCCTACGAAGGAGAGGGGCTGGCAGCTGTGTGGGCAGTGGAGTTGTTTAGACCCTACCTCCAAGGGAGAAAGTTCACCCTCATCACAGATCACCAGCCCCTCTTGTGGCTGATGACTAATCAAACGCTGAGGGGAAGGAATGCAAGATGGGCAATGCGGTTGCAAGAATTCGATTTCGAAGTCAGACACCGCCCAGGGAAGACGCTCCAGCATGTCGACGGCCTGTCGAGGCAGGGGCCAGCGGTACCGAGTAAGGAAGGAGTGACCCCCGAGGCAGCACTGGTATACTCGGCAGTAGCCGCGGAGAAAGAGGGGTGGAGGAGGAGAAGGGATGCTGAGAAGGGGTGCGCAGAGATTTGGGAGGATAAACCAGTACTAGACTGGGTGCAAGGAGTGGGACCAGAGGGGCTGGAAGTGCCGGAAAGGGTGAGAGCTAGGGGCGTGCACTACAGGTGGCAGGATGACCAGCTGCAGTTGGTAACGGAGGATGGATGGAGAATCGTACCCAGACCTGGAGAGAGGAGAGATTTGATACTGCAGATCCATACGAAGTTCGGGCACTACGCCGTGGAGAGGACCACCCAGCTGCTGCAAACCATGTATTGGTGGCCAGGAATGAGAGGGCAGGTAAAAAGGGAGGTAGCAGAATGCGAGCCCTGCAGTAGGAATCGGGCGGTGCTGGAAAGGAGTAAGGCAGAACTACAGTCGCTGCCTATTGGGAGCATCGGCTACCGATGGTCGTTGGACTTGGCGGGGGAGCTGCCCTTGTCCAGGAGAGGAAAGCAGTTTATCCTGGTGATGATAGAGCACACTAGCAAATGGATTGAAGTGGCGGCTCTGTCGCGTAAGACAGCCGCATCGGTGGCAGAGGCTTTCGTGCAGCAGGTGCTATGCAGGTTTGGGGCGTGTGGAGAAGTATTGACTGATCAAGGGACAGAGTTCGCGGGAGAGTTTGAGGCATTACTGAAGGAAGTAGGTATAGTGCACAGAAGGACCTCACGGTATCATCCACAAGCGGACGGGCTGACAGAGAGAATGATTCAGACGTTGAAGAAAGGCCTGAGGAAGTATTGTGAGGAAGAAGAGAGGCGGGATTGGGACGTGAAATTACCGTGGGTGGCAGCAGGGTACCGTTTCAGCAAACAGCAAGCGTTGAAAAGCTACTCTCCTTACCAGCTGCTGTTCGGAAAGGAGCCCCTGCTACCCGTGGGAGCTCCTAAGGTCTTAAGAGAGGCGGTAGGAGACGAAGACCCCAACACCTGGGCGGCTGTTGCAGCGGCCAGGGCGAAGTATCTCCGGTCGATCATGCCGGCTGCACTGGAGAACCTGGAGGTAGCACAGATGAGAGATGCTCGCCGGTACAGTCAGAGGAGACAAGGGGGGAAGGAAGTCGTGAGAAAGGACAGAGGGGTGCAAGTAGGGGATGAGGTGTACCTGAGAGAGCGGCGGAAGGACACACTGGAGTGCGGGCTGAGCAAAACGAAGTGGAAAGTGCGAGAGCTACGGGAATCAGGGGTGGTTCTTTTGGAAGACTCTCAGGGGAAGAGGGTGAAGGACCATATCTCCAATACTGCTAAGGCGACAGCATCACGACCTGTGGGCAGGGGCGCAGAACAGGTCGTGAGGGGGCATGACAGGGGTCCAGAGAGTATCATTACCTATAAGAGACGAGGAGGAGGTGTGCACAAGGAAGCGGGGAAGCAGGGAGAGAAGTAAGGATTAGAGGGCACAGAGCAAGAGAAGGACGGGAGGGCGGATCCACTGGGAGAGGGTGCGACAGCTGTCGCATGACTCTTGCGAATGAGTGCACAAAAGTTCATGAGACAGCTCCTAAGGTGAGTATGGTTGGGTAAATCGTAAGGGAAGTAGTATTGTTGTATTGTTGTTATAAATTGTGCTGTAGAGTGTACGGGTAAGGGGGGGGGGTTTTGTGGTGATATTAGAATTGTGGCAGGGATAGAAGAATCGAGGCGGGGCCTCTCGAAATGAGGACGGGACGACGGCTGACCTGGCAAGGGCCACCGGTGAAGCGGAAAGGGGACAGGGGTGACGAGGCTTGCCCGAGTCGCATGCATGGAAAGGAGCCCAAGGGTTGGGCGGTGCGAGAGGTAGTTGGCAGACCCCAAGGCACAGATTCACGAGGGGTGACAGGAAGCCAAAACTAGCACAGCAAGGACACCAATTCACTTTTGTTTGTCTTCTCGTAATTGTGGGAAAGCTTGTGATTCAGTTGTGATCTGTCGTCAAGCTGAGCAACTGCTAGATCCACGTCGGAGAAGCCAAACTAGTGCGGCCATTTGTGCCTAGGGAAGGAACCTAGCCACTCGCGTCGAGGGCTTCTTTAGGAGGAGACGAGGAGGAGGTGTGCACAAGGAAGCGGGGAAGCAGGGAGAGAAGTAAGGATTAGAGGGCACAGAGCAAGAGAAGGACGGGAGGGCGGATCCACTGGGAGAGGGTGCGACAGCAGTCTTCTGCTTTCCTTGGAAGTTGCATGTTTCCATGATGGCCCATGGTAGTAGCTGTTCTGACCTTTGATAAATTTCAAAAGTCAATCCAGTACATGATGACTTAATGTATCTGTGATCCGACGAGAGTTGAAGGGAGGCTTGTATGTGTTTGCTTGCATTCGTGCGTGCACGTTTGCGCTTGTACACATGCGGTGGGACTTTGATGGCACGTGTGGTCACAATTCCGGCTGTCATTTGTCGTACGCCCATCACTCTCTTCTGACTGTCCTTTTGTGTGTGTCTGTGCATGTTTGTGGGTACGTGTGTGTGTGTGTGTGTGTGTGTGTGTGTGTGTGTGTGCGTGTGTGTATGTTTGTGTGTGTGTGTGTGTGTGCATGCTTGTGTGTGTGTGTGTGTGTGTGTGTGTGTGTGTGTGCATGTTTGTGTGTGTGTGTGCGTGCGTTGTGTGTGTGTTTGTGTGTGTGTGTGTGTGTGTGTGTGTGCATGTTTCTGTGCGCGTGCACGTGTGTGCGCGTGTGTGTGCAAGTGCATGTGTGCATGTGTGCATATGTTTATATGTGCATGTGTGCATGTTGGCATGTGTGCCACGTGTGCCATGTGTCCCATGTGTGCACGTGTGCACGTGTGCATGTGTGCATGCATGCGCACATCAGGTGGTAGCGGCGCGCACATCGCCCATAATGGAGGATTTCAAGGACTGGCTGGCGTTCAAGGCAGAGCCAGCAGCCGTCGAGAAACTCATGCACTCACGGGCGTCACAGGTGCGCGCTGCGCTGCTCTGCTCTGCTCTGCTCTGCGCTGCTCTGCTCTACTCTGCTCTGCTCTGCTCTGCTCTTCTCTGTGCTGCTCTGCTCTGCTCTGCGCTGCTCTGCTCTGCGCTGCTCTGCTCTGCTCTGCTGTCCTCCACCCACTGTGCACGTGTGCCATGCCCCTGCTATGCCCCTGCCGTGCCGCTGCCATGCACATGCTTGTGCCATGTTGCCCCATGTGCCCGTGCTGACTGCCGCTTCTGCACGAGAAGACTCTTCATCAGTAGTTTACATCCATGTGCTGTTCTTGCTTCTCGCTTCCTGTACGTGCTCCTTGCTCATCACCCTGTCCCCATCCGCCATTGATCCTCTTCATTCTCGCTCTGCCCCTCTCGCACCACTTGCGGCCCTCCGTGTCCCTGTCAATGTCAACCAACAGAGGGACACATGTCATCTCGCCTCATCGTCCTCGTCATCCTCGTTATCGTCCACGTCACTGGGCCTTCAACCCGGTCCCTTCCCGTGCACTGCACGACCTGCCACCTCCACCTCCTCTTCCACGTCCACACTCCCCTCGAGCGGCGGTAAGAGCACCGCACCAGGGGGGGCAGGAGGAGGAGGAGGAGGGGGAGGAGGAATCTCCAATCCCTTAGGTTCTCCTTCCCACCTCTGCCCCTCTCCCGCCACTACCACTTGCACCACCACCGCCACCGCCACCACCACTGCCACAACCACCACCAGCAGTAGCAGCGGTACCAAAACCAGCACTGTCACCGACGCACCAGCGTCGCTGCTCTCCCTATCAACGCCGTCCCCGCCTCGCAAGGACCCTGTGTCAGAGGCCAAGGCGGCAGCAACAGCAGCGCTGCAAGCAGCATTGGAATCGCGAGACATAGCCCGCATGGTGGAAGCGCTGAGATGCCACCGCAGCAAGGCCACTCCCAAGGCCGTGAGGGTGGTTCAGCAGGAGGTGAACCGGCTGCTGTTTGGGGATGGGGGGGCTAGTGGGGGCGGGAGCAGAGCGAGTGGTGCGGCTGGGGGAGGGGATGGGGGAGCGCGTGGGGGAGGAGCTGGTGCTGCTGGGACAGCAGGTTCAGGCGCTGCTGCTGCTGCTGCTGGTAATGCTGCTGGTGCTGCTGGCGGGTTGTCCGGCGGTGCAGGCTCGAGTGTGGCACCAAGTGCACATGCACATGCTGCCTCGGGCGGTCATGCGTGCTGCAACAATCCCGCATGCGTGCACCGCTCCTTCCCCGCCCCTGCGAGCCCCTTCCCCAACCTCACTCATGCTGCTGCTGCCACAGCAACTGCAGTCAGCGCCGCGCCCCTGCAGCAAAGCAGTGCTGGGGGAGGCGCAGGGGGAGGGGGAGGGGGAGGGGGAGGGGGAGGGGGAGGGGGAGGGGGAGGGGGAGGGGGAGGGGTAGGGTCAGGGGGACACGGAGTTTTGCAAAAGGTTGGAGAAGGCAGAGGGCGGGGGAAAGGAGTGGTGGCGGCGGATGGGGGGAGGTTTGGCGGGGGAGGGGAAGCAGCGGCGGGAGGAGGAGACGCGGGAGGGACAGTGTTGGAACGAGGGGGGAAGATGGATGGTCCTTTTGCAGCTTCTGCTGGTGAGTGTGGGCTTGGCAGGTGCATGGGTGTGTACGTACGGGCATGGGAATATGTGTGGGCGTGTATATATATATATATATATATATATTTATACATGTATATGTACTATGTATTTGTGTGTTGTGCGTATATATTTCCATCGTCATGGTTACTAGGATGCGCATGTTTTGTCACAATTGCAATACTTCAAGATAATTTCTACGTATTGGAGTGAATCAAATTTCTTTTTTAAGTCGGAGGGAGGGGATATGAGGAGGGATGAGATGACTATACAGGGAATAAGTGAAGTCAATACGTATGCGGATAGGAATGTCAGCCCGGGCATGATCATACGGTAGTATGCCCTGAATGCTCATTTGTATCTGTTCTGATTCTCCTCATAAGCGGGCTGAACGCATACTTGTTGGAACAAGGTTTATGGGTAGAGTCCACATTTCCTTCTTGTCCAATCGCATGGCTGCAGCAGCAGCAGAAGCAGCAGCAGCTGCAGTAGCAGCAGCAGCAGCAGCAGCAGTAGAAGTTGCAATGAGAAGAAAAAACGTCTTCGCGACCTTCTCTTTCACTTGCACTAGGAACAGAAGTCTTCGGAAGTTCAGCAATTTTAGGCTTCTAAAACTTCCTTCCTGGCTGTTCTTCTTCTTGCTACCTTGTCTGGCTCTTGCACCAGGAACAGCAGTTTCCGGAATTTTTGCACCAACAGCAGCAGCTGCCGCCACAGCAGCAACATCAGAAGCAGCAGCATCATCGGCAGCACAGCAGCAGCAGCAGCCTCGTCTAGTGTGCCCCTTCCCGTCTCCAACTCCAGGATCAAATGCTTCAGGTGAGGGGCTCGTGCTTTCCAACTTCTAGCACCTTTTGCTCGGTGCTCTATTCTCTCTGTTCTCTCTGTTCTCTCTGTTCTCTCTTTTCTCTCTGTTCTCTCTGTTCTCTCTGTTCTCTCTATTCTCTCTGTTCTCTCTGTTCTCTCTGTTCTCTCTGTTCTCTCTGTTCTCTCTGTTCTCTCTGTTCTCTCTATTCTCTCTATTCTCTCTGTTCTCTCTGTTCTCTCTGTTCTCTCTATTCTCTCTATTCTCTCTATTCTCTCTGTTCTCTCTGTTCTCTCTGTTCTCTCTGTTCTCTCTATTCTCTCTGTTCTCTCTGTTCTCTCTGTTCTCTCTATTCTCTCTGTTCTCTCTGTTCTCTCTGTTCTCTCTGTTCTCTCTATTCTCTCTGTTCTCTCTGTTCTCTCTGTTCTCTCTATTCTCTCTGTTCTCTCTGTTCTCTCTGTTCTCTATGTTCTCTCTTTTCTCTGTTCTCTCTGTTCTCTCTGTTCTCTCTGTTCTCTCTATTCTCTCTATTCTCTCTATTCTCTCTGTTCTCTCTGTTCTCTCTGTTCTCTCTGTTCTCTCTGTTCTCTCTGTTCTCTCTGTTCTCTCTATTCTCTCTGTTCTCTCTGTTCTCTCTGTTCTCTCTATTCTCTCTGTTCTCTCTGTTCTCTCTGTTCTCTATGTTCTCTCTTTTCTCTCTGTTCTCTCTGTTCTCTCTGTTCTCTCTGTTCTCTCTATTCTCTCTATTCTCTCTATTCTCTCTGTTCTCTCTGTTCTCTCTGTTCTCTCTGTTCTCTCTGTTCTCTCTGTTCTCTCTATTCTCTCTGTTCTCTCTGTTCTCTCTGTTCTCTCTATTCTCTCTGTTCTCTCTGTTCTCTCTGTTCTCTCTGTTCTCTCTATTCTCTCTGTTCTCTCTGTTCTCTCTATTCTCTCTGTTCTCTCTGTTCTCTCTTCTCTCTGCTCGCTTCTCCATGCTTGTGTGCCTGGCGGTATGTGCTTTGTGCCGCATTATGTTCCCTTGGCCTTGCCCCTGCTCTCGTGGCCCACCCACAGCTTCCTTTGTCTCCCAACATTACCGGCGATGCTGCCTCAACCAACACCATCCACTCATGCTCATCACCATCACCATCACCATCACCATCACCATCCACTCATGCTCATCACCATCACCATCACCATCCACTCATGCTCATCACCACCACCATCACCATCACGATCACCATCACCATCCACTCATGCTCATCACCACCACCATCACCATCACGATCACCATCACCATCACGATCACCATCACCATCACCATCAACATCATCATCACCATCACCATCACCTTCACCATCACCATCCACTCATGCTCATCACCACCACCATCACCATCACCATCACGATCATGATCACCATCAACATCACCATCACCATCACCATCACCATCATCATCATCATCATCATCATCATCATCATCATCATCATCATCATCATCATCATCATCATCATCATCATCATCATCATCATCATCATCATCATCATCATCATCATCATCATCATCATCATCATCATCATCATCATCATCATCATCATCATCATCATCATCATCATCATCATCATCACCATCACCACCACCATCACCATTACCATCACCATCACCATCACCATCACCATCATCATCACCATCACCATCACCATCACCATCACCATCATCACCATCACCATCACCATCACCATCACCATCACCATCACCATCACCATCACCATCACCATCACCATCACCATCACCATCTACTCGGTGTGCGTCTGTGCAGACATGCTGTGTGGGGTGGGAATTGGGATCGGCCTTGGCGTTGGCGTTGGCGTTGCAGGGGGGCACGGGCCTCGTCTTGGCCCCAAGGGGCGCCCCCGCACCTCCAAGCTGCTGCGCCGGAAGGTCAAGACCAGCAGCAGCAGCAGCAGCAGCACGAGCAACAGCAGCAGCAGTGCTATTACGGGTGGCACCAGCACGAGCAACAGCAGCGGCAGTTACAGTGGGGACGGTGCGGCCTTTGGCAGCAGCAGCAGCAGCAGCAGCGGTGGTATTGGTGGCGTGGTAGCGGGGTCTTACGGTGCATACCCTGCCACTGTGGCTTCAAGCGCACTGGGAGGAGGAGCCACGGTGTGGGGTGGAGCAAGTGGAACTGGGACCGTCACTGGGGCCCCTCCTGCTGCTGCTGGGATTGTATCAGGGCTGGTGACGGGTACTGCACCAGGAATTGCTGCTGCTGCTGCTGCTGTTGCTGGTGGTGCTACTGCTGGTGGTGTTGGTGTTGGTGGTGGTGGTGGTGTTGGTGGTGGTGGTGGTGTTGGTGGTGGAACGAGGGGTGCAGGTGGAGGTGTGGGTGGTGGTGGAGATGCAGTTCAAGGTGTGGATGCCGTCGTGTCGGGAGGCTGGCAGGAGTCGGTTCTTAGTGGAAACGCCGCTGCCACTGCTCAGCAGCAGCAGCTGCAGACCCATCGATTTGAGCAGCAATCCCAGCTGTTTAAGCCAGGAGACGGGCAGTGGATACAGCAGCAGCAGCAGCCTCCGCAGCAACAGCAACAGCAACAGCAGCAGCAGCAGCAGCAGCAGCAGCAGGAGCAGCAGCAGCAGCGGCGGCGACGGCGATGCTGTGATGGCTGCTGCAGCTTCTCGGATAACTATGGCACCATGGCGCCTGCTTTCTTGACTCCTGATACCACCACATCCCCCGCCCTCACTCCTACTTCCACCCCCAAACCCCCCTCCACCACCACCACCACCACCTCTTCCTCCTCCTCCTCTTTCGTTCTGCCCTCCTCCCTCTCCTCTCCTGCCCACGCTGCTTCCATGCCTTCTCCTACCACTGCCACGACTCCCACCACCACTTCAGCCCCGCACCGGCCCCTTCCCTCCTCCTCACCTTCACCCTCCGTTCCCCTCTCCACCAACCCAGGGTCTGACCCTAGCCAACGTCCAGCCTCCACTGTGCGTCAGCAGCCTCGGCAGCAACAGCAACAGCAACAGCAGCCGCAGCAGCAGCAGCAGCAGCAGCAGCAGCAGCTTCAGCAGGAGATGATGCAGAGGATGGGTGAGGGAGCGGGCAGAGGTAGGGAGTGTGGAGAGGAGGGCAGGGGGGGTGAGATGCGGGGAGTGGATTGGGAGGAGATAGGAGCGGCGTTGATTGAGGAGGAGGAGGTGGTGCTGCGCGCCAATGCTGCACTCAAAGAGGCTCAGGTGGGTGGGATTACTTGTGAGGCGCCTCAAAAGAGGCTCAGGTTAGATGCTCCCTCCATTTCATGCGTCTTCATCAGCCCTGGTTTGTTTTGTGTGGCTTCTTTACTTTTTTTTTGTGCGTCCGCTGTCTCTACCTTGCTTTGTTTCCTTCATGTATGGCGCTCATAAGCCTGCACTCTACTGCACTCTACTGCACTCTACTGCAAACCCACTCCTCTTGTTTATCTCAAACTCCCTGCTTTCCTCCCCGCCTCCTCTCCTCTCGTCTCGTTCCCTATCCCTGTCCCCAATCCCCTCTTTCCTTCCGCCATCTCCAAATCACCACCTTGTGCCCTCCCATGTGTCTGGGGACCTGCGAGCCACGAGGAGTGCTCTGCGGGATCTATTAAATGCTATGGCAGTCTATTTTTGAGGCGTCTCAAAATGGACTCTTTGCTTCCACCATCCCCCTCGCCCCACCGTGTTCCCTGCCATTCGTTTGGGGTTTTGCAGGCCATGAGGAATGCGTTGGAATATCTGATGATGCTAGATGATGCTAGAGCAGTCTTTCTTCCTTCAAGGCGCTGCAAAAATATACTCTTTGCTTTCACCTCACCTCCCCTCTCGCCCTACTGCGTTTTCTCTCAGGCGTCTGGGGATCTGCAGGCTATGAGGAATGCGTTGGAAGATCCGATGAATGCCAGGGCAGGGGCAGCAGTGCGGCACTGTTTGGCACGTGCGGTGAAGAAGAAGGAGCAGAGGGCACGGGGAAAGAAGGGCACGCCGCAGGCTGGTTCTACTGCTGGTGCTGCTGCTGGTTCAGATGGTGTTGGTAGTGGTGGTGCTGGCGGAGAAGTGGGTGATGGATCGGGGCAGACGGGAGGAGGAGAAGAGAGGACGGAAGAGGGGGAGGAGGACGGTGACAATAGCGGCCAGAATGAGGGAGCAACGCAAGGGAGGGAAGCAGTTCTTGATCGTGGGGAGGAGAAGGCAGGGGTGAGTGCGCTGGCAGAAGGGGGATCCAGTGACGTGCGTGAGGAGAAGAAGAACGAGAGGTTTAAGGGCAGTAGGGAAGGCGAGGGGCAGCGAGGAGACGGAGCAGGGGAGGATGAGCCAGGCGATGTGAGCAAGCATGGGAGCAAGAGCACGGGCACGGGCACGGGCACGGGCAAGGGCACGGGCACGGGCACGGGCACGGGCAAGGGCACGGGCACGGGCACGGGCACGGGCACGGGCACGGGCACGGGCACGGGCACGGGCACGGGCAAGGGCACGGGCACGGGCACGGGCACGGGCACGGGCACGGGCAGTAGTAATAGTAGCACAGGTCGTGCTGCAGTGGCGCTAGAGGAGGAGGAGGAGGAGGAGGAGGAGGAAAGCACAGAGGGGACGAGTGGGACACAGGACGGGGGTAAGCAGAGCGACGCAAAGAAGAAGAGGAAGAAGAAGAAGAAGAACAAGAGCGGTGGTGCTGCTGTGACCGGAACAGGGTCAACCGGATCAGCAGCAGCAGCAGCAGCAGCAGCAGCAGCAGCGTTGCACGAGCCCTCTGGGTCTGCTGCTCAAGAAGACCCACCAGCTACAACTCCTCCTGCTCTTACCTCTCTGCGAAGCCCTAGAGGCATCACTTCTTCCTCCTCCTCTCCACCCGCCCCTGCCTCTCCTCTCCCCTCTGTCCCTGAAACCCTCTCTCCGCCCGATAGAAATCTCCCATCTTCGCGTGCTCCTGCTGCTGCCCGCCCTGACCGGTCCCTTCCCACTTCCTCCTCCTCCTCGCCCGCTCTCTCGCCCCCTCCTCCCACTGGATCTGGAGCCGCAGCTGCTGCCAGCAGCTCTGACCACAGTAGCGGTAGCAGCAGTAGCAGTGGCAGTGGCGGAGGGGGCAGCAGCAGCAGCAGCAGCAGCAGCAGTAGTAGCAGAAGTAGTAGCAACAGTGGCGGCAGCAGTGGTTCTGTAGGCGCAGGGGGAGGGGGAGGGGGAGGGGGAGGGGGAGGCGCAGGGGGGCCGTCATGGAGTGATCGGGTGGCTGCTGGGCTGGCCAGGTCAAAGGATGCTGCTGCTGCTGCTGCTGTTGCTGCTGCTGCTGCTGCTGCTGCTGCTGCTGCTGCTGCTGCAACTAACGCAGGCACTGCAGGAGGAAAGGGGAGTGGCAGCAGCAAACAGGGCGCTATGGTAATGGCAATGGCAGCAGCAGGTAGTGGTCGAAACGGGCAGGTTTCTATCCATGCTTCCCACCCCCGCCATCATGGGCACACGCAGCATCATCACCACCACCACCATCACCACCACCACCACCAGCATCAGCATCAGCAGCAGCTGCAGTTTGGCTCTGCTAACACAGCTCCAGCTTGGGGTATGGGTGGAGGAGAAGGAGGAGGAAATGGAATTCTATCAAGTCGCGCTGCCATGGCATCCCATGCCACAGCTGCTTCTTCTGCTTCTGTTGCCGCTGCTGCTGCTGCTGTTGCTGCTGCTGGCGGTGCCACTGCTCCTGGCCGAGCATGGGTAGGCAAGTCAGCTGCTGCAATCGCTGCAGGCCGAGGGGGTGCGGGAGGAGGATCCGCCACAGGAGCGATGGGGCTTCGATCGGCTGCTTCAGGTGCTGCTTCTTCTGCTGGGGTGGTGGGGGGTGGGTTCTGGTCAGTGGCTGACGCGGGAGGTGGAGGTGGGGGGGGGCGGCAGGAGGAGGAGGACGATGAGGAGCTGTGTGTGATCTGCTTGGAGAGGGAGCGAACGACAGCGTATGAGCCGTGCGGCCATGCGGCATTCTGCCTGGATTGTGCGCAGGCTAATCTGGAGGTGCATGGTGACTGCCCCATCTGCCGCACGCCCCTGCAAGGCATTTCCTCTGACTCTGGCAGATGAGGGGGGGAAGGGGAGTGGGGAGGGGAGTGTCGATGGAAGTGGGGAGAGGAGCGTGGAGTCGGGAGGCATGGGAGTGAGGTTAGTTATAGTTGTTTGTGTCGAGAGGAGTTGGGGGAGGTTGTAGGAGAGGTTCCTGGAATGGAGGTGAAGGCTCAGTAATTTGCCAAGGTTTGTTTCTTGGTACCGTATGAGTGAGGTGATTGCAGATGCAGTGGGTTTGGTTGGTATTGGATGTGTGGGGAATTTACGGTAGCTTGAACATGTCATTATTAATGGTTGTGATGGTAGGGTTATGCAGGGAACATTGTCCATGAGTTTGAAGAGTGCTTGGCTACTGGAAGTAGGAAGTGTGATCACAGCAAGTGCAGAAACTGGACAAAGAATAGCCTCTTTATTTCTAGCATTTGGTGGACACTCTGCTGTGGCACAGGAACTTTGTTGATATACGCGGTATTATCCCCCAACTGAATATGGTCCACTACTGCCACTAATCTAGTGCTACGGTAAATGTTCAATCAATCCAATCACCCCTACTCCTGCACTACCTTCTCCTTGCCTTGCTTTCACCTGTTGTGCAGCCATGGCTTACCCTAGTACACCAACCAACGATTTAAGCTATTGCCATAGGCGATAGAATGATTCACGCATTTAAGAGTCCAGCAGCGGGCACAACCACCATGGCCAATGGAAGCAACGGAGGTGGGTGGGTGGCATCCACAAAGGCCAATGAGGCGATTGTTAAGCCCATCAAAGTTCTACTACGACAGTACAGTACCATGTCGAAGCAAGCGACCAGAGGCGACTTTTGAGTCGACTAAAAAATCACACTGTTTGAGGCACGTCAAAGTTCTACTACCGGTACTAGCATGTCTATGCAAGCGACCAGAGGCAGACACAGGCGTCGTTGCCAGCAGAAACAATGGTGGTGGCGTCCACAAAGGCGAGCATGCGGTGCCGGTGATTGTTGAGGCACCTAAGGAGTTCACTCCAATGTCTACGGAAGCGACCAGATGCGGACGCAGGCGTCGTTACCGGCAGACACAATGGTGGTGGCGTCCACAAAGGCGAGCGCCGACACGCCGCCCACGTGCGCGTTCTTGAGCGTGACGCGGTCGGAGGGCGGCTTGCTGACGTCGTAGACTAGGATGGACATGTCGAGTGAGGCTGTGGCCACACGCGCTGAGTCTGGGGACCATGCGAGAGTGCTGATGCGCGCCGTGTGGTACACCATGTTGCGCATCTTCACCTGGTGTGTGGTGGGAGATACGAGGGAAGGAAAAGGGAGGGGAGGGGAGGGGAGGAAAGAGTGGAGGGAAGTGTGGAGGGAAGAGAGGTGGGGAGCAATGATGCTGGTGCTGATGTGCACCGTGCGGTACACCAGGTTGCGCAGATTCACCTGGTGTGCAGCACGAGAGGGAGGGCGGGAGGGGGGGAAGAGAGGGGGGAGTAGAGGGGAGGCAGGACTGGAGGGAAAGTGGAGAGGAGCAATGATGCTGGGGCATTGGTGCCGTGTGGTGCATAAGATTCCGCCTGGTGTGAGCTGGGACGTGAGAAGGGGGTGGGGGACAGAAGAGGGAAATAAAGAGAGGAGTGAGATTTAGAAGCCATGGTGCTGATGTAAGTTGTGTGGTGCACTCCAGAGGCCAGCACTCCATATGGCGTGATGATGAGCGAATCTGTTTTTTGAGAGTTCTCCAAAAACACATTCAGCTTAATATCACCCTCCCCAGGTTTTTAGTGTGGTGCACTCCAGAGGCCAGCACTCCATATGGCGTGATGATGAGCGGCATACAGAGGAGAGTCGAGAGAAAGCAAGTGTAAAGGAGAATAAAAGCACCAGGAGCATGAGCAGAGGAAAAAGAAGAAAACAATCAAGAATGGGACTGTCAGTCAGCAAGAAAGACCCAGGCCTTATGGACAGGCAGGCAGGCAGGGGGGCGGGCAAGAACATGAGTGGGCTGGAGGGGCAGGCAGGAAGGCAGAAAAGACGGCAAGCAATCAAGCAAGCAGCGGACAGACTCACCTCTCGTGTGGCGGTATCCCACACAACAGCCTCCCTGTTCTGGTCCCCAGTGGCCAGCATGGACCCATCCGGCGAGTAGCGCACAGCGGTAATAGGCCCCCGGTGCCTCTCCAGCTTAGCCACCTCCTCCAGCGTATCCCCCGTCACACTGAACACTCTCACCACCCCATCCTCCCCTCCCACCGCCGCCTCCTTGCCGTCGGGGGAGAGAGCAGCAGCCGTGGCTGTGAAGGCAGGAGTGATGGAGGAGAGGAGCTTGGAGGAGCGGAGGAGGGTGAGGCCCGAGGCGGTGGTGAGGAGGGCGAGGTCCGGGTCGTGTGGTGCGATGCTGATGTCCTTGGGGTGCGCTCCAAGTGCAATTGTTGGCGTGTCAGCGATCGGCGTGAGGTCCGAGAGGTTCACCAGCTGAACCTGGAGGTTTGGGAGGGAGGGGGGTTGGGAGAGGGGGAGGGAGGGAGGGAGGGAGGGAGGGAGGGAGGGAGGGAGGGAGGGAAGGAGGGAGGGAGGGAGGGAGGGCGGGAGGGAGGGAGGGAGGGAGGGAGGGAGGGAGGGAGGGAGGGAGGGAGGGAGGGAGGGAGGGAGGGAGGGAGTGAGGGAGTCAAGGACGAGGGAGACGGTGCGGGTTGAGGGGAACGGGGAGGGGGGGGGAAAGAGAAAGCATCGGTGGGATGATATGGTTCCAAGGAGAGAGCAGTGCCAAGAACAGAGGAGGAGAGGAGGGGCAACTGGAGGGTGGCAAGGCAGAGACGCAGAGGCAAGGGGCAGTACAGCAGAATGGCACATAGCAGAACGGGAAGGGGCAGAGAGGAAAGGGGCAGAGGGACAAGAAATAGGGAGAGGCGCAAGGGAGAGAGGAGAGAGCAGGGGTACTGACGGTGTCATCATTGCATGCGAGTAAGAGCGTGCTGCCCGCTGCTGCCATGGCCGCCACACCTCCAGCAGCAGCACCCGGAGCAGCAGCAGCAGCAGCAGCAGCGGCAGCAGCAGCAGGTGCCTCCATGCGACCAAGCGACCCGGTCTCGATGTTCCAGCGCACCACCGTGCCGTCATAGCTGCCTGTCACGAGCTCTGTGGGCGCGCCCGCCGCGTCCCCTCCTCCCGGGGAGAAGAGTGCGAGTGCGGTGATGGGCTTGCAGTGGCCCACGAGCGTGCGCAGTGGTGCGGAGGGGGATGCGGGCGAGAGGAAGTGGATGTCCCCGTTGAGGGCGACGGTAATGAGGTGCTCTCCCACCCATGCACACCCCACCTGGGACAAGAAGGGAAGAAGCAGGTGCGGGTAGGGGGCGTGGGCAGTGTGTGGGGGAAGGCGACAGGGATCAGAGAGGAGGGAGGGAGATAGTTTGGAGAGAGGATAGGGATGTGTGGCACGTCACCCAGTCTTATGAATCTCACGCTCTTGCATGTAGTTTGCAGAAGAGGTAACCTTAGACCCGACTAAAAAACCGTGACTCTCACGCTCTTGCATGTGATGTGGTCCGTCTGCAGACGAGGTAACTCTAGAATCGACTAATGAGTTACCGTGACTCTCACGCACGCTCCCGCATGTGGACCGCAGCAGACGAGCCCCAGGGGGCATGTGATGTGATAGTCACGGTGGCACTGCTCCCTGGTGAATCGACTGGAAACCCAATCACCCAGGCTCAGGAGTCAGGAGTCAGGAGTCAGGACTCGCACCCACAACGCACCTGTATGTGGTCTAGGGAGGAGCCCAGGGGGAAGGTGGTGGCATTTGAGGCGCCTCAGGAATCGTCTCATGAGTCAGGACTCTCACCCACCCACGACATGACGCACCTGCATGTGGTCTACGGAGGAGCCCAGGGGGGGACTTTTGAGTCGACTCAGCAGTCAGGACTCGCACCCGCAACGCACCTGCATGTGGTCTACGGAGGAGCCCAGCGGGAAGGTGGTGGCGACGGTGGCCGTGCTGCCGTCTGCTGCCACGTCCCACACCTTGGCCGTCTTGTCTGCTGACACTGTCAGCAACTGTGGCGTTTGGGGAGGGAGAGGGGGAGGGGGGGAGGGGGGGAGGGGGGAGAGGCATGGGAGGATGGGAAGGGTAGCCGCCATGGTGAGGGGAGCGGCAGTGAGGTGAGCAGTGGGTGCGTGTGCGTGACGGCGACGGGTTGGCAACACCACTTTCGTTCGTCCATTTTTGTTGCAAAGAGGAGGACGAGAATAAATAGCAGCTGCGGGGTTTCTTGAGCTTCGAGTCGACTCAAGTCAAGAGAGGAGAGGCGGAGCTGCTTTCGTGTAAATCCATCTTTCTTTCGTAAAATGAGGGTGGGAACGAATAGCAGCCGAAGCCAGGGGAGAATGCTTTAGGGTTGCAGAGAGAGGACGGGGTTGTGGAGAGGGGACGGGGTTGCGGAGAGGGGATATAGGCTGGAAGGAAGGGGAGGATGGCAAGAAGAATGGCGGATTGGCAGGGAGGGAGGAAGAGGGTGGCATGGGAGCGGGCAACCAGCAAACAAGCGCACACATGCATCGCTCACAGCAGAAAGGATCCCGCCCCACCAACTCCCCATCCCCCTTCGCTCACCCTTTCCCTTCCCCCACCTTGGCCTTCCCCTTGCCTCTTACCCTTCCCTCTCCCCGCCCCTTCCATTCCCCTCATCGCCACCGTCACCAGCAAAGCCACCTAGATCACCCTTACTCCGCGCCCTCACCCTCCCATCCCCCCTCCCTCCCTCCCCCTCTCCCCACCCCGCTTCCCCTGCCTCCTCCATCCAACCGACTTCCCCACCTGCTTGCCGTCGGGGCTCCACGCGGCGGCGTACACGCTGCCCGTGTGCGCGTCGTCCGCGCTGAGCGTGCCGCGCTTCTCGCCCGTCTTGCCGTCGAACAGCTGCCCCTGGCGGTCCGACGACACGGACACCAGCAGCGCGCCGTCCGGGGAGAAGCGCACGCAGTTCACAAAGTTGCCGTGCTCCCTGGCGGGACGGGGGGGGGGGGGGGGGGAGGGGGAGAGGAGGAGGGAAAGGGGGAGCCCGCGCATGGCAGGCGCGCGGAAGGGGGGGAAGAGAGAGTGGAGCGGGGGAGGGGGGGAGAGGGAGGGGGGACGGGGCAAAGGGAGAGGGGGGAAAGGAGGGGGGGAGGGTGGGAGGGAGGAGGAGAGAGGGAGCAAGGGTAGTTGGGTTTGAAAATGGCAAGGTGGGGCGGGAAGCGGGGGAGCAAAGGAAAAGGACAGCAGTGGTTGGAGAGGAGGGCGGGAGGGGAGAGACGAGACGCAGAGAGTAAGTAGGAGAGGCAAGCGGCACAATGCAATCCACAATGTTCCTCTCTCAGTGCAAAATGAACATTCGTGTTCATATCCTGCGAGCGACGCGAGGCTAGGCCACCCCGTGCCTCATCCACGGCCACCCGGCCATCCGTGTTCTATTACCACCCGGCCGCCATGCACCACCAACAACCAGCCCCAATCCCCGCTAACGCCCTCCCTCATTCCCCTTACCCTCAATATACCCTTTCCCGCACCTTGTCCCCTGCGCTTCCCCTTTACCTTCCCCTCATCCCCTTCCCCAGCTTCTTCCCCATACCCCTCTTCCCCCACTCCCTTTCCCTTCCCCCCTCCCCCTCCTCTCGCGCACTTATTGGAAGCCTTGAAGCGGAACGGCGGGCCTTCATAGTAGTTGATTGCAAAGTCCTCACCGCACGTGAACGCGCGGAAGGGGCGCGCGGGGCGGAACGCGCAGCTGAGCACGCGCTTGGTGTGGCCCTCGAAATCGCCCAAATTTCCGCCCGAATCCCAGCTGCGGGGGTTGGGGGGGGGGGGGGGGAGGAGGAGAAGGGAGACACGGGAGAAAAGGGGAAATAGGGGAAATGGGGGAGCGGGGCAGGAGGAAGAGGCGCGACGGGAGCTACCCTTATCCAAACGGGGGAGAGCGGGTTGGAGTCGGGAAATTCGGCGGGCTGTCCGGATAAGGTTGGCGGTTTGGATTGTCGAGTACGATGGAGGAATGCGGAGTGCGGAATGCGGAATGCGGAATGCGGGTGAGTGGGGGGCGACGAGATGAGAGAGGGCGGCATGATATCCTATGACATGGTACAACATCACAACGTGAAATGACATGACATGGCATCACAGTCACAGGATGCGGCGGATACACATTACACAGCTCGAGGGAGGAACAGGACAGAGAGGTCCTCAGTGGAGAATGCATCCAACGAGCGCAACGCGATGATCGATTACTGCCGGTCGACTCACAGCCGAATCACAGCCGACTGACAGCCTACTGCCAACCGCCTGACAGCTGATTCACAGCGGAATTGCACTCGATTGACATCCGACTGCCATGGAGAGTCTTGGAACTCGTTATACCACAAGCATCAGCGTAGGACAAATATATCTGATCCGATGCGATCCGATGCGATCCCACTCACGTGAACGCGCGCACGTAGGTGGGCTTGCCGTCGCCGCACACCAGGATCCTCTGGCCGTCTGGCGACCACTGCAGATCGTCGATCGGCCCGTTAAGAGCCTTCAATTCGTACTTGAGCCGCCGCTCGCCGCCGCGCCCCCACACGCGCACCGTTCCGCTCACATCGGCGGACGCCACCCACTCCCCGTTGGGCGAAATGCGCGCGACGGTCGTCGGATAGGAGTGCTCGGAGTAGATTGAGCAGTCGCGCGGGTCTTTAAGCGATCGTATGACGACGGATTTGCCGGAACAGTAGGTAATCACCTCGGTCGCGTCGTGCGATCCGATCAGCAGCCCTCGCCCGCGCTGCGTCGCCGGATTCGCAGCGAATGTGCGACTGGGAGTCGCTTCCATTGCGGCGACGGAGTCTCTGGGAACCAGCAGCAGCAGGAGCGAATTCGGATGGGTGAGGCTACTGGATTGATTGGAAAGCAGGCGGAGAAATGTGAAGGAAAATCTAGCATCTTCAAGGGAGGGGACGGAACGGAACTGATGAATGTGAGGAAGAGAGAAAGGGATGGACAAATCCAAGTGAATGTGGGGACGGGGGTGGGTGGGTGGGTGGGTGGGGTGATCAGGGCAGCTTCTAGAATTCGGCAATCCCATGGTCGATCATTGCGTTGGGATTGTCGGAAATTTGGGTGTTGGGGGCGTGGGGACGTGGGGAGGGCGGGGCTGGATGCTGCGCTGCTGGGCTGGTCAGGTTGGTTGGCGGGGTGGGTGGGGTGCATAGGAAAGGGGGAACTTGGATTCAGGGGGGACGGGGTCGACATGCGCGGACTCGTTCTGATGGTCTCGGTAGATGACTCGATAGTGTCAACAGAACAATAAGTAACATTTAGTGGACTGGATAACTAAAATTTCCGAACTTATGCAGTGTTGACCACCTTCAAATGCTGGCTTGTCAGCCAACATGGCTCATGTATTCAGGGGTAGGACGTGAATGACTCCAATATCGTACAGAGCAGCATGCATGTACAAGGAAGTGAAAACCTGTGTGCAACAACTAAACCTCTAGGCTCTTGCGCTCGTTTACTTAGGGTGCATTCCTGCGGGGACACTTGTGTCTCAATCAGGGCCTATTTTTGGATTTTGGGTACTCTGATTTCTAGAGTAGTTTTTTTCCCAACTCTGAAATCTAGGGTTGTTCCTGCGCCTTACTCTGATTTGTCAGAGTAACCCTATACTTTCAAAAAAAAACCCAGGCTCGTCAGAGTAATATTTTTCTCTACTCTGATGTTAGTTATGTTTGGTGTACCATGACCTTAATAGGTTTTTGTTACGCCTTTTGTACTTGCATTGTGTTTCATTTCCGCGTCGCCCACGTTTCCCCCCTCACAGCGATGTTTCAGAGTGAGGTGTTGGCGGCACCGATAATCTGACTAAGAGCGTGTCTGAAGTGAAATGTCGACGGATGTACAGTTTCGTCGGGGAATGCTGGCCAATCTCAACCCTCGGATTGAGCGTTCCGACCGTCAGGATTCCTCGACGTCCCTCAAAGTTTCGTCGGGAAACGTCGACGTTCACTTCAGATATAAAGAGAGAGGGGACTGGTTGGCATCGTGCGCTGGTTGGGAAAGTTGTCAAACTACGGTAGCCAATCAGCGCTCATATTGCCGCCAACACACGACAGAAATCAGGAGAATGATCTCGACGATTCGTGGAAAACCCGCTAAACGCAGGGGGAGGTGGGGAGGGGAGGGGGGGCCGGCAGGTATTCCCTATGTAGAGTAAATTCGGTCCCCGAAGAAAAAATCCAGAGGCCTCAGAGTAAACTACAGCATAACTCTGACAAATCAGAGAAATCGGAAGTCCCAAAAAAATTACCCAGCGGGTACAGAGTTACTTTCAAAAATGACTCTGATTTTCAGAGAAACAGAGTAATTTACTCTGAAAACGTGAGGCCTCTCAATCCCAGTTTCCCCGAGTCGCGTCTGTAAATTTGCCAAATGTTGTGTCACAAACAACCAATGTATCGCGACTCTAGGCGACCCGGTGAAATGTACAGTTGTGCGCGTTTGATTGGGTGACACAAATGACTGTACATCCCTTTCTTCAACCGCTTGGCTGGGGTGTGGTTTCGACGCGCGGGATTTTTTCCTGCACGAAATTGGCACTGCAGGCTGTCCAGGTGCATTGACACTTCGAGCCGCGTGCGAATTTTTCACATTGACGAGTCGGATTACAATTCGTCAGCGATGTCAGCGCGTTTCACGCTGACCAATAAAAAATACAGTTATGGTCGCGGAAAGGCGACTCGCAATTGGGACACACTACAGTTTATGCTGTTTTTGTGTGTCACAAAGCGATTGAGACATTTGTGTCCCCACAGGAATGCACCCTTAGTGTACAACGGAGGCACCTGCCATTTCCCGAATCCCCACACCAACAACGATATTGAATCGTCTGCCTGAAAATAGCAGTACCATTTCACGAAACTTGTCGGCCTGCATAGTTACCCTTGAGATGCCGGTCACTCAAATCATGACACGGCATGGCATGTCAAGGCATGGCATGGCACGTCATGGTCAGTGACGCATGGGCCATACTCCAGCAAGTGGAATGGAAGACTGCAAGAATAGCGGCGCATTGGGCGACGGCAGGTGTGGGTCGGAGGGGGGTTGGTGGAGGCGCGAAAGCCACTGGCAGGCGACAATGACGTCTGATGCCACGCCCGTGATGCTCACTGCCACGCCCACCACGAGCATGCTCCACACCGCCACTCTCTCTGTGCATGTAAACGTTAGCCCTGGGGTTCTGGTGCCATGCAGGGCAGAGGGTGGGAAGGGGACAGGGAGAGGGCGATGACCTTTTGAGTCGACTCTGTGATGCTCACTGCCACGCCCACCACGAGCATGCTCCACACCGCCACTCTCTCTGTGCATGTAAACGTTAGCCCTGGGGTTCTGGAGCGATGTTGGGCCGAGGGGGGAATGGGGAGGAGGAGGAGGGCGGGAGTGTGGAAGGGGGAGCGGGGCACGGAGAGAAATCAGGTGGGGGTGAGACAGGATGGGTATGGGGGGGAGAAAGGGAGGAATGGACGAGTGCAGACAGATGTGCGCTAATGTGAGTTGAATGCGACTGACGACGGGCAAGGAGAAGAGTCAGAAGGAAGATACAGGAGTGCGGGCAAGGAGCAGGGCGAGCAGGCTATTGCGAGCCAAATCTCACGGCAAAGCGAGGAGTGCGGGGAAGGTGAAGCCGATGGAGACAGCAACGATGGCCCCGAGCAGCGAGAAGAGCGCGTAGATGTCGGGCACGAGCACGCCGCACGCGAGGATGAATCCCATGGTGGCCGCCGTGAGCCAGAAGAAGATACAGGAGCAGAGTGACAGCAGACAGCAGCACGGGCAGGCTGACAGCAGCACGGGCAGGCTGACAGCAGCACGGGCAGGCTGACAGCAGCACGGGCAGGCTGACAGCAGCACGGGCAGCGACAGAATCACAGAGGCATTGAGAAGCAGGAAAGTGGGGGAAAATCTCACAGCAAAGCGAGGAGTGCGGGGAAGGTGAAGCCGATGGAGACAGCAACGATGGCCCCGAGCAGCGAGAAGAGCGCGTAGATGTCGGGCACGAGCACGCCGCACGCGAGGATGAATCCCATGGTGGCCGCCGTGAGCCAGAAGAAGCGCCGCTGCGAGCGCCACAGCGGCAGGCGCGCCTTGGGGAAGAGCAGGATGTCGGCGGTGAGGCGCAAGGGGAAGTGCACGATGGGGAAGACGAGCAGCAGGTGGACTATGTAGCCCACCCGCACTATGTCGTCCATGGCCTGCAGGAGAGAAGGGGGGATGGGGGGAGAATGGGGGAGGGATGAGGGGGGTGGGGGGGAAGAGGAAAAGAGGGAAAGGGGGAAAGGGGGGAGGGGAAGGGGGGATGGGGGGGAAGAGGAAAAGAGGGAAAGGGGGAAAGGGGGGAGGGGAAGGGGGGATGGTGGGAAGGAGAAAGGGCGAAGGGGTGAAGGGATGGCAGTTGAGGGGGAGAAGGAAGAGCTGGATGTCTTTTGAGAATTCTCAAAAAACAAGGGGAGAAGGAAGAGCTGGATGTCTTTTGAGAATTCTCAAAAAACAGGGGGAGAAGGAAGAGCTGGATGTCGGCCGTGAGGCGTAAAGGGAAGTGCACGGTGGATGATGTAGCCCACGCGCACTATGTCGTCCATGGCCTGGGGGATGGTGTGGGGGGAAGAGAGGGGTAAACGGGAATGGATGGGGGAAAGGGATCAGGGGGAAGACACGAAAGGGGGGAACGGGGGGAAGAGGACTCGTGAGCCAACTGAAAGACCAGAAGGGGGCCTGCTTTCCAACACATTCTACCCTGTCTACCATTTCCACCCTTTCTTCCCCTTTTCCCGCTTTCCCTTCCTCCCCCCCCCCCAACTCCCCTCACCCTCCACTCCCTCTCCCAGCCCTCACCTGGCTGAGCCCCAGGTCCTGGTCGTAGTTAGCGAGCACATCAGCAGCGGTGTTGTCGACGAACAGCAGGTAGGCAAAGAAGCCTAAGCCTCCCGCCCCATTATCCTTTCCCCGTCTCACCAACCCTGCTCCCTGCGTTCCAACCCTTTTTACCGCCCTTCCCCACTTCACCCGCCTTCCCACCCGTTCCTAATTTTCCCCCAAATTCTCCCTCTTTCCCCATGTTTTCCCTACCCCTTCCCCTCTCCCAGCGCGCACCTGGCTGAGACCCAGGTCCTGGTCGTAGTTAGCGAGCACATCAGCAGCAGTGCTATCCCCAAACAGCAGGTACGCAAAGAGCGCCGTGGTGCCGTACAGCGCCGTGCAGATCACCTGCGCCAGCCCTGCTGCGCGCTCCATGGTGGCCGCTGGGGCAACGCAGGAGGGGGAGTCCTTGAGCTCGCGGTAGATGGGCTGGACTGCGCCCATTAGCCCAGGGAAACGGGAGCAGAGGGGAAAGGGATGGTGCGAGAAGGGAGAGGAGGAATGGATAGGCAGACGGGAAATGGGGGCCCAAGACAGCCCCGCTGCGCGCTCCATGGTGACCGCTGGGGCGATGCAGGAGGGGGAGTCCTTGAGCTCGCGATAGAAGGGTGGACTGGTGGGGGGAGAAAGGAAGAGGGGGAACGGGGAGCTGTCAGAACCCTGCTGCGCGCTCCATGTTGGCCCCGGGCGCCATGCCATGCAGGAAGGGGAGTCCTTGAGCTCGCGGTAGATGGGCTGGACTGGAGTGGGGGGAGAATGGGGGAGGGGGAACTGGGAGTTGTGAAATCCCTTCTGCACACTCCATGTTGGCCTCAGGCGCGATGCAGGAGGGGGGGTCCTTGAGCTCGCGGTAAATGGGGTGGACTGGCGTGGGTGAGGGATGAGAAGAGGGGGAACAGGAAGTTGTGAGAGCCCTGCTGCGTGCTCCATGGTGGTCGCTGGCGCCAGCGGAAGGGGAGACCTTGAGCTCGTGATAGATGGGCTGGACGGACTGGCGTGGGGGAAGGGATGGGAGGTGACGGGACAAGGCACAGGGTGCATGAGGGTAGAGGTGGGAGATGGGGAGAGGGGGATGGGGGCAAGCAAGCTCCAGCCCCACCCAGTGCACGCTCCATTGCAGTGGCAGGTGAAGGCGTTGCTTGGTTGGTCGTGACTGACAGGCACGGCGGTGAATGTGCTTGTCTCACTTATGAGACATCTCACGATTGGTGCGGGGAGAGGGGTGAGGTGAGAGGGGTGAGGGGTGGAGGGGGAAAAACGGAAACACAGCTAACATTGTGTTGGTCATGACGGGCACGACGATGGGGGGTGTGGGAGGGGGTGGGGGAAGAGGGAGGGAAGAAAGGGGGGAGAAAGGCAAGGCAAGGCAGGAAAGCTGACCATTGTAGTGGCAGATGAAGGCGTTGGTCATGACAGGCACGACGGTAAAGATGAGCAGCACTGACTGCCATGACGACACGTCCGGTACCATGCGCAGGGGGGGGAGCCGCCCCTGCACCACGCGCACCACCGCTGCTGCTGCTGTGAAGAGCACAAAGAGCACTGCTAGGCCCACTGAGAGTGCTGACGTGGCCATGAGGGAGTCTGGTGGGAGGAGGGGCAGGCGGTCGGAGGAGGGTGAGGGATTGGGGATGGGTGGGGGGAGGGTGGGCAGGGACGGGTAGGAGGGGTGGGGACAGGGTGGGGTGGAGAGAAAGGTTGGGGGGAAAAGGTGGAAGGAGGTGGATGGTGAATACAGTGTAGTCCTGAATGGGGGCTCATCTCATCGTATGGTGGTTGGCTGTATCACCAGGACACACACTAACCAACCACCACCACCATCCACCCACTCACCAACACACCACCCCACCCACCAATCACCAGCATCACCCACCCACTCAGGGACCTACCCACAGGGACTACCCACCTATGCGGCGGAGCAGCACGAGTGGCAGCAGCACGAGGGTGGTGACAGCGAGCAGCACCACGGCCCTGCCGTTCCACCACGTGGGCCCTCCTGCCAGCTCCTCCAGCAGCCCCACGTGGTGCACCATGCCACCCGCCTCTGACGTGCCTGACAGCACGTCCGCTGTGGGGGGGAGGAGGGGGGCCATGGGAAGAAAGGGGGCCATGGGAAGAAAGGGGGCCATGGGAAGAACGGAGGGGAAAGTTTGAGTGGACTCAAAAGTCAACGTGGTGCACCATGCCGCCCGCCTCTGACGTGCCTGACCGCACGTCCGCTGCGATTTGGGGGTGGGAGGGGAGTAGGCGGGAGAATGCGGGGGACGGGGTTGAAAGGGGGCGGGTGTGACGCTGCTGAGTACGCTAGGCGGGAGTGAAAGCAAGGGGATGTGAGAGAGGAGAGAGACAAAAGGCGCACGCATGCACGCACGCACTCCCCCTTCTTTCCACCCCCCCTCCTTTTTCCTTCCCCCCCCTCCCCCCACACACACTCACCCGTCATGATGAGGTAGACGATGAGCAAGCCCAGCGCGTGCAGCGGAGGTGTAAGGAGGGAACCAGAGGGAAGGAGGGATGCATGCACGCGCGCCCGCACCGCACACACACACACTCACCAGAGATGATGAGATACACGATGAGCGACCCCAGAGCCTGTAGCATGACCATCACCTCGCACAGCACGCGCCCGCGCTCGCCAAAGCGCGTGCCCATGAGGTGGCCGTACGACGGCGAGTTGGTGGCGGCCGCCAGGCGCACTATGATCAGCACCGCGCTGTGCGTCAGCGCGCCCATGAGCGCAATCAGCAACAGCCCCAACGGAAGGCCCAGCACCTGATGCGGAGAGTGGAAGGGGGAGAGAGGGTGCGGGGAGTTGGGGGAGGGGGAGGGGGGGTGGAGTGGGACGGGGAGTGGTAGGGGGAAGTGGTCGGGGAAGTTGTAAGGGTAATGAGCTATGATGAGCACAGCGCCGGGGTTGAACGAACCCAAGCATCACTATGCCATGAGCAGGGGCAGGAGCAGGAGCAGGAGCACCCCCGCACGAGCAATATCATACCTTAACAATGGCGTAGGTGTTTTCATTCGTTTACGATGCTCCCTTGTTTGTTTTGTTTTGTTGGTTTGTTTGTTTGATCTTTTGTTTGTTCGTTTTAGTTTGTTAAGGCGGGCAGCGTTGGAAACACAGTGCACGATGTCATTACGGCGCACCTTGACAGTAGCGGGAAGCGCCATAATGCCCGCGCCCACGCTCGTCGTCGCCAGATTGAACACCGCGCTCCACAATCCCCCGCCCCCACCCCCGTGCCCTCCGCTCAGCATCGCGGCCTCTTCCGCCCTGCCTCCGCCGACACCGCCCTTCCCCCCTTTCCCTCCGGATGCAGCGCCGAGTCCAGCCAAATTCCCCGTGGAACGGCGCAGAACCACCACGTCATCCAAGTGATCCTCGCCGTCGCTCGCGCCGTTCATAGCGGCGCCATTCGCGGTGGCTACTCGGTCGCCCACGGGTTCCGCAACCGCGTTTTCTAGAGGTTTGTGAAGGAGAGGGGCTGTTAATGAATCCATGGCGTCACTTGGTGGAGGAAAGGGGAAGGGAGGAGGCCGGAAGTGGCAAGGGAAGGGAAGAGCAAGTAATGGGAGACACGAATAAACTGAACGGTGTTTTGTTTCGAATAGAAGTGCAACTACGAAACTAAGCCTGAAACCTCTGTCTCAAAACACGTGGAGACATGGCTTTGCAATATGCGAGCGGAGGCTACGGATTGATAATAAACTCCCAGCAATAAAATGTGTATTGCAGATAAGCTAGCGTGGCAACCAAGATAAGCCTTCGAGCCGCTGTCTCGATTGTACCGTAGAGGAATGGATCGGCTGAAAATGATGAGAACTGCACAATGACGACCAGTTGCTACGAATACTCGCTGTGTCTCTCTACTGCGAATCCCACTTCCCTGATGAATTACACTAGTTCAAGAACGGTTTAGTGAGCTGCTGAAACTTCTACAACGGCTGAGTAGTATTTTACAACGGTTTGGTTGTGGAACCACATAACTAGCAGTTGTGTGCCTTCGTTCGGTTTCGCATGACTAGATGCAATCTGGCGACCGTCGTCACGGGCAAAATACAGTTCGACGACTTTGGTTACCGGCTTGGTTTCTCTGGCTTCGGCAGAAACGGCAAGCCAGGCTTTTTCACCTCCCAAAACACGTGCGAGAGAGCCACTCGTTTCGTTACCTTCTGAAGGGAAATTATATATCCAGTCACAGATACTGGCTCGATATCACGACTGTTCATCTGGCAATCGCGAACGGTCACAGAATCTAGGATCCTATCACGGACGATCACAAAATCAGGAATTCTATCACGGGTAGTCACAATGTTGCCCCACGATCTATCACGTACGGTCACACAATGAAACGCTCCGTGGAAAGTTGAAATTTCACGAGTAACTGTAGAGATTCGGGGAAAGCTATATTGTGCGCGAAAGAAAGTGTTACCTCCGAATAAGTTCGCGATCACTTTCGCAAACTCGAAAGCATAAAATAATTGTCTTTTTCCCGCAGCAGATTTGCATAATTATATCCGTCCGCAAAAAGAAAAAAGAAACTTTTTTTTTTAAACCTCGTATCTGTGGACTTTCGGTATCAACCCTAAACACCTTGTCGTATGGTGTTGGGTTGATGCTCTCTCGGATGGCATGCCATCTGAGTGGGTTTTAGTTTTTTTTAGGCATGCAAATTTTTGTAACCTTCGCCTCCGCGACTCGCTACGGAATTAACCAGGCTAGCTACGCATATATGACAAGACCAGTCGCCAGTTAAATGTTCATAAAACTCAACAGTTTAAGGCCGCTACAGCTTCTACACCGTGCGTTTCGTCTTGTGACGAAACGTGATAAGTTTTTGGGGCAGCGTGTGACTATAGAAATCCCGGATTTTGTGACCATCCGTGATAGATAGCTAGATTATGTGCCCGTTCGCGATAGCAGCGTGACTTTTTGTGATGACGAGCCCCTGTTTGTGACCGCCTATATATTAACCCCCTTCTGAAGGGATGCGAGCCGCGCTAAATTGGTTGGTGTGTGCTGCGCCGGAGCTGATGTGGCGCCACCCTTGAAACGCCCTGGGTGACGCGACTATCGAATTTGAAGTTACCACGTGGTATGGCTATTGAAGACCTGTCAACAGCCTTGGGAACGCATTCGTGGAGCACACGACGGACAAACTCCAAGCTTGTTCTCTACAGTGCAATGGAGGACTCGGCGCGCGAACCGGCCGGGCGTGAGAAGGAACCGCTGATGGCGCCTAAGAATGCGGACAGAAATGCGTGAGGCTCGGGGGTTGTCATGTCACAGGCTGGTGAGAACCAGGATCGAGAATCCAATACTGATCCGCCACCTCACTGTACCCACTCTTATTGTCTCTGAAACACACACAAGCGGCTTCAATTCCTCCCAAGGCCGACTCACTTAGATTCCAACTACGTTTTCTGCCCCCCTCACCTGCACTTCACATATGACGTTTGAGGTGTGCAACATGTTAGGGCAATAGCGACACATGACATAAGTTAGCAGTAACCTACCTGCAAAAACAAGAATGTTAATGAGGTCGCATAAAAATCCTCTACCAGCCGCTCGGCTGTCAACGAATCAAAACCCCAACAGCCCACAGTGCCAGCAGCACCATGACAACCAGCATGAGAAATGCAGCAATCAACTTCACAAGCTGCGCTGTCCTCTCCTCGCGCTTCAGGCTCGCCGGCAAGGGCAGGGCGTTGATCAGCGCCGAGGACAGACCCGTCAGCCTCTGCGAGTTCAGCTGCCCAGCCATTTCCTTGGCAGTAACCGAGTCATCCATAATCATCGCTTCAATCTGAGCAATGGCATCTGCATCCACTCCTGAAATACCCTTCCGCGCTAACGATCCCGCGCCCTGGCCCTTCTTGCCTTGCTTGCCTGCGTCCACACTGGAGCTGCGACGCAATGCCCCCCCTCGCTTCGTCAACCGGCCATTTCTCCCAGCAGCAGACGAAGCAGTCGGGGTAGTGACCGACGCAGCGACGGCAGGAGAAGGAGAAGGCAACACACCATTTTCAACCCCCTGCTTCTGGTCCGAGGGTACCGTCACTTCAGGCTTGGAAGGGGGAGCAGGGGCAGCAGCAGCAGCAGCAGCAGCATTCTCTGACAGAGTCCCAGTTGCAGCAGCCGTTGCTTCTGCGGCTGCTGTGACTGCATCCGCAGCAGCAGTTGCAGCGGCAATGTCAGCAGCAGCTGAGGCGCCGTTGGACGACGGCAGGGCTTTGGTGGCCGACTTGCGCCGCCCAGACTGCAAGGGAAAGTGGGTGTACCATGGGATGGGAAACCGTAACACACATAGAAGGAGACCAGAGATGAGCAAAGAGAGTGAGGAGGGGAGGGGGCGAGTGGCGAGGGGGCGAGGGAGTGGGAAGAGAGACAACAGGTAAGAATAAAGGTGAGTAAGAAGCAGCAAGCAACCAACAGCAGGCTAGGGATATCATACATCTCAACACTCAGGTCACAATCCCGGCCATTAGTCTACCTTTGCCCGCTTCTGCTCCTCCCCTGCATCTCCTGCTGCTGTCACACCAGCAGGCTCCCCTGCTGAACCCTTATCTCCGTCCTCCGTGTCTGCCTTGCCAGGTGCCGCCTCTGCTGCCCCTGGTGCAGGCTGAGACTGCTTGGAAGCAGATGCACGCAACTGCTTCAGGTCCTTCTGTTGACAGGAGAGGGGAGGATGGAACGGGAAGCAAGGCGTGGGGAGAATGGAGCAGGGAGGGTGAAGCGGGGAGGAGGAAATGGAGGTGACGTGAGACAAGCGGGATGTGATGGGTTTAGGGTGGGAGTGCACAGCAGATCAGGGGGCACTGCAACAGCGGGTTGACAGGGGTGCAGGGGGATGACGGTCAAGGCCGAAAGTATCAGATTAGTTTAAGGACAGAAGAAGTGGAAGAGAAGTTGTGTTCAAAACCTGGAGGGACGAATTGAGGGAGCGGAGGCGAGCAAGCTCCGCCTCCAGAGCGTGGATCTTGGCTGCCTCCTGCTCCTGCCAGACCACTCACACACACACACACATGCACACAATGAACACACACACACACAATCGCACACACTCACACACACACAAACACACACACACACATGCACACAATCGCACACACACACACACACACACACATACACACACACACACACACACACAATCGCACACACACACAATCGCGCGTGCGCGCGCGCGCACACACACACACACACAAAAGATACAGATGGTGCTCGTATGTGAATTTACTGACAGCAGTACACACGAACTTGGTTTCACAACAAGGGTGTGTAAGCGAGGGAGAGGGGGGGGAAGAAGGGAGTGCTATGCATGGTAATCTAGAGGTCTTGGCAAATTCCGGGAGAATGCGCAGCATTGCCCTACAACAACACTGTTTCGAAGGCAATCAACAGTGCATTTGGCAGAATTAGGTGAGTGGGAGCACATAACATACAGCAGTGGCTAGCTGCGCCTTTGCTCCGGTGAGCTCCTTCTGCACGGACGCCAGCAGCTGCTCCTTGGCTGACAACTGTGGGGACAGGCGCGGGAAAAGCAGGGAGACGCGCAGAGAGGGCAGAGCAACAGCAAGCAAGGTCAGTACACACGCACGCACTAACATACCGATGATCAAGCCTGGAGGCGGCTGATGGACTGTGACTGGCAGAGGCAAATGCCACAGCCAGCACAAAGCCACACTCGTGACTCCTCACTCGTACAGAAGGAACACCGCAACAATGGCATGATCACGCCAGGAAATACAGACTCTATATCTCCATCGCCCTGCCTGCGATCCTCTCCAACCCACTGCCCTGCCCTACTGCCCCATTGCCCCACTGCCCCACTGCCCCACTGCCCCACTGCCCCACTGCCCCATTGCCCCATTGCACAATCACCACCCACCTGCTGGCCCACGCGCACCCACCTGCTGCTTGTGCTTGCTCTGTGCGTCCTGCAGCCTTGCCTCAGCCTCGTTGAGCTTCACCCGCAAGCGCCTGCTCTCATCCCCGCGTGCCCTCAGCGCCGCTAACTGCCCCTCCAGTGCAACCTCCCTCGCCGACTTGCCCTTTCCACCGCCTGCTGCAGCTGCTGCTGCTGCGATGCTGGCTGCTGTTGGCGTGGTGGCAGCAGGGGGGGCTGCAGCTGCAGCTTCTGCCAGCCTCTGCTGCTCCTGCTCCTGGTGCTGCTGCTGCTGCTTTGCCATGGCGTCTTGCAGGTCTGAGAGTTGGTTAGCAAGCAGCGAGTTCTCTTGCATCAAATTATGCATCTGAGGAAGAGCCATGGCACACCAACATAAAAAAAAAAACACACTCGGGGGAGCATCGTTGCTGTCAGGGATCACGAGAGTACAACAAGAAAAGCACAAAACCAGAGGGCAGAAAGCAAGGAAAGAGGGCACATGAACGGCAAACAAAGCTGCTGCTTTTCTAGCTGAGCGTTGAGCGCACACACACGCACCTGCGCCTGAAGCTGCTGCACCTCGCCCACGTGCTGCGTCTGCATCTCCTGCACCTGCCCCTCCACCTGGGCCTGCATCTGCGCCTGCATCTGCCGCGCCATCTGCTCCTCCTGCACCTGCGCGCGCAGCTGCCCCTTCTCCGCATCCCCCGCCTCCACCTGAGCCACCAGCACCGCGTTTTCCCTCTCCCGCTGCTCCAGCAGTCCCTTCAGTTCCCCCAGCCACGCCTCCAGCCGTCCCACCTCCTCCCCCCGCCCCGCCACCTGCGCGCTCAGCCCCTCAACCTGCTGCTGCGCCAGCGCCGCCTTCCCTTCCGCCTCCTCCAGGCTCCGCGCGGCGGCTTCCGCCCTGCTCTCGCTCTCCATTGCGTGCATCCGCTGCTGCTCCAGGGCCTCCGCCAGCTGCGCCGCCCGGGCCTGCACCTCCGCGAGCTCATGCCCCTGCCGCACGCACTGGCTCTCCAGCTCCTGACGTCTACACTCCAGCGCCTTCACCCTCTCCTCGGCTTCGGATCCCTTCTGCGCCTCATGCAGCCGCTGCTGCTCCTCCTCGCGCCATCTCAGCTCCCGCTGCTCCATCTCCTCCGCGCGCCGCTTGAGCGCCTCCGCCTCCGCCTGCAGCCGCGCAACTTCCTCCTCCAGCCCCGCGATTCTCCTCCTGCTGCTCTCCGCGTCCTTGCTCGCTGCCTTGTCTTTTTCGCTCGCCTCCTCTGCCCATTTGCTCTCAGCTGCGGCCTTCTCTTGCCGGGCAGCGTCCAGATCGGCTTGCACGCGCTGCAGCTGCTCCTCAACAGCTGCCGCCTGTTGCTGACTCTTCTTCCCCTCCTCTTCCACTTGCTTCCACTTGGACTCCGCTTTCTTCCACTCCACCTCACGCGTCGTCAGTGCGGCCTTCTCTTGCCGGGCAGCGTCCAGATCGGCTTGCACGCGCTGCAGCTGCTCCTCAACAGCTGCCGCCTGTTGCTGACTCTTCTTCCCCTCCTCTTCCACTTGCTTCCACTTGGACTCCGCTTTCTTCCACTCCACCTCACGCGACGTCAGTGCTGCCAATTCGCCCCTCAGCTTCTCTCCCTCCTCCTTCAGCTTCTTCTCTTCACCCCTCAGTTTCTTCTCCTCAGCCCTCAGTCTCTCACCTTCCTCAATGAGTTTCTTCTCCTCACCCTTCAATCGCTCCGCTTCCTCCCTCAGCGCGACAGCCTCACCCGACAGCCGCCCCACCTCCTCCTCCAACTCCGCAATCCTCGCTTTCTTCGTCTCATCCTCCTTCCTCCTCTCCTCCTCCTGCTTCTCCCGCGCTCCCTGCAGCGACTCTGCAGCAGTCACCGCCGCAGTCCCCTCGCCCTCCCCGCCCACCCACTCTCCCCCACCTTCACCCCACGAGCTCGCGGAAACCAGCGCCGACGTCCCCTGGCCCTCACCGCTCACTCCATTACCCGCGGCAGCGGCGGCAGCCGCCTTTCTAAGCTTCATCCCAGCGGGCCCCGATGCGGCCCCCATCGCCGCCGCCACGCGCGCGTCCGCCCGCACCCTCTCCTCCTCCAGCTCCCGCTGGAGCGCATCAATCTTCCCCTCTAGCTCCGCGCGCAGCGCAGCCAATTGCTCCTCCGCCATCTTCTGCGCGGCGGCTTCCGCCTCCGCGGAAAGCCGCGTTTCCGTCTCCACAAGATCCGCCCACATGCCCGACCCCATCCGCCCGCTCGGCTCCTCGCTTTCCCCAACGCCCGGCACATATGACGCGGGGAGCTTCTTCGCTAGCTTCCGCTCAAACACCTTTCCGCCCATTCCCCCCAGCCCCGGCAGGTCAGCGGAAGCGGTTTTCATCTCGCTCGAGGCGGCGTCCGCGGTGGCTGCGCCCGCGCCGGAGGCGGCGGTTGCTTCTCCGCCCACCAGCCCGCTCGCGCGGCCTTCCGCGCACTCCTGCGCGAGCTTCATGGCGACATCCGCGCTGAACTTGGCGGATTCCGCTGCTTTTTCCGCCTCCACCGCGCGCTCCATGAGCAGGCGGTTCTCCTCCCGCAGCGCCGCCAGCTCCTCCTTAGCGCGCACGGCGTCATCTTCCGCCAACGCGCGCGCAATTGCATCTCCCGATTCCGCAGCAACCACCCCCTTGACCTCCTCCTCCTGCTCGCCCTTCCCCCCGCCGGTTCCGCCGCCGGGGGTGGCGGGGAATTCTGGTTGCGCGTCAAAGGCGGAGGCGCCCGCGAACTCCATGAGCGCCAAGCGCTTGGCGCTGGACTCGGGTAACGCAACCGCGCGCTCTATCCGCATATTCAGGCGCACCAAGGGGAACCTGTCCATTTGGCGCGGGTAAAAACAGGAAGGGGGTTTGGGGATGACGCGAAACCAGAGACGGTTGAGGGGGATTGGGAAGAAGAAAGATGAAAGAGGTGAGGATGTGGGTGGATGGGAAGGAATGGGAAGTGAGACCTGGAGATAGGGAAGTGAGACCTGGAGATAGGGAAGTGAGACCTGGAGATAGGGAAGTGAGACCTGGAGATAGGGAAGTGAGACCTGAAGTTCCTTAATAAGGGTTTCTGTCAAGGGGTACAGGTGGTGGGGCTATCCAAAGAAGGAGAGCGGAGAGGATTGCCACGGGTGCTGGTCGAAACCACGAAGCGACGAAACAGAGGGAGCGGTTCAGACGGAATAGAGGGTAGACTTTGGGCGAGGTTTTGAGCGAAAAGAGCGACACTCACTGACGGTTGGTGAGCGAGAAGAGCGGAGTGGGCGGCGGCGCCGCCGCCGCCCCAGAAGCAGCCTTGGCTGGTGACGCCTGCACGGAGCGGGACACCTGAGACGGCTCCACCTGCCAGTGCTCCCACTGCGGCCCGCGAGCCGGCAGCAGCGCGAATGGAGGGCGGAGGGAATTGGGTCAGATCGCGTAAAACGTGAAACGAGAAGCGAGCAAGATCCGCGTAAGGAGGGACGGGTTGAAGGAGACCAGAGAGCGTGAAGCAGGCGCGCAAATGCTGCACGATAGACGCGGACAGACGCGGACAGACGCGGACCGACGTACCGTCTTGAAATTGTAGTTCCCTGCTCGCATCTTGAGGTCCTTACCCGCCTGCATGATCTGCAGGGTGGATAGATGGGGCAACGGTAAGAGAGCGGGGACGAGCCACTGAGGGATCGCGACGCAGGATAGTAGCTGGCTAGGAAATATATGGAAAGATAGAGTAGGAAGGGAGCGGCGGCAAACGGGAGTAGGGCGTTAGCCTAGTGGTCACTGTGTGTGTCACTGCAGATCAGCTGATTGCTTGATTGAGACCAGTGATACTCTGTGATACTCTCTAACCAGTGCTGCGTTCACATTCAATCCTCTTCCTCGTTGCACCATGCGTGAGTTGCGCTCACCTTGCCTTCCGCAGCCACGGAGCGGAAGCCGAAGTAGCGCTTGCAATCGGACTGAAGGACCACCAGCATGGCTTCAGGCGGGTACGAACTGCAGGGGGGAGAGGCGCACGCATGGTGCAACGATGTCAACGATGCTCATCGGCGTTCAATTAAGTTCCAAGAATGTTTAACAATGTTCATCGGTGTTTAACGATGCAGTGGTGGTCGGGGTCAGAGTCAGATGGACACTAACTGCCAAGGACCTGGAGCACAACAGCTCATTCTTTCCGATGCAAGTTCATGAGCTTTCCAGAAGCCTCAAAGAGCATGCCACATGCCAATGGCGGGAGCGATGGTGACGCTGTCTCTTACTGCCAGTCGTGTCTTCTAGTGCAAGTCCTGTCTACTAATCTGGACCAGTTTGATTGACGATGTGTCATGCAGAACCGACCTGTCGGCGTGTGGAGCATCATCGGAGGAAAACAAAGTCTCTCGACCGTTCGCCGAGGGACGCATGCGATACAGGCGTCCATCAGGCGTCGCAAGGACGACCAGATCGCCCACCTGAACGTGGCGAGGGGGGTTGAAACGGAGGAGAACGGACATTGGGTATAAATCGGATCGGAGCGTGATAAACTTGATTGATAAGAAGCGAGAAGAGACACAATCACACCGCTAAACTCCGTACGATTGTTGACTCAAAGGATCAAGCTGAACGAGCTGGAAATCGTAGAAGCAGATTCAGGAAATTCGCACAGGAACGGCAAGCTACCTTTATGCTGTCCACAGTAGTCCCCATTTTTGCACCTCCGCAGGAATAGGCTCCGTAAGATTGTTGAACAAGGTTATCAAGAGACCAGCTACTGAGCAGTGTCCCTGAAGACAGAGCAGGAATCTGCTGAAGAAACGCTTTGTTGAATCGGGCTGGTCAGTGTGTGGTGGGCGGGTGAGTGAGTGAACCGAAACTGACTCAACTGGACACTCCAGGAGCGAGCAACAGAGAGGCCATACAAGAGACGAGAGAACACATCACGTCACGATTCACGATTCACACAGATGGATGCTGGATCACTGTGCCGTGACTCACGCACGTCACATCAATCTCCGCACCGCACATCACCGCTGTACTTCTTCACCTTCCCCACCTCTCGAACCTCGAATTTGGGAAGGGTGGGTGGTTGGGTGCTGCTGCGGACACGGGTGACGGGGAACCGGCAGGGCGGGAACAGAAGCAGTTGGCCCACTTGGGTGAGCTGAGCCATGTCTGCCAGCAATGTTGGGTTTGGTGCTGGGGACGAATTGAGATTGTGGTGCAGCTGCTTTTGGTTGATCACAATAGGTTCGTGATTTCCGAGGCTGCAAGTGTCAGAGCTTATCTGCCTCGGATAAATCAGATCAGGCGCTTTGAGTCAGCAGGTCCAGCCATACACCAGTTCCTCCCCAAGAGCAATGTGAAGGAACAGCAAAGACAAAGTGCAATACACCTCCTGGTAAAGAACTACCAAGGACAGTTATTAGTCAATGACTAGTAAACCTGTTAACCAGCGGCGGTTCACATCCTGTCCAGATGTTGAACAAGTTTCCTTATGGTTCGAAGAGCCATGAAGAAACCTTTAAAGAATATGCTAATATTAAGAACCTTGAGTACGGTACCTGCACAGCACATCTCTAGTTCACTAACAGCACATCACTGAAACTTACATCAACCACAGTCAGCAGCTGAACTTCCTCCCCAAGTATCCCCCTATGTTTCCACTTGATTCATCCTTCTGTTTCAACTGCACTTTGCACCGTATATAATCATCACAAGGTGTACCAGGGGCGCTCCTCAGCCATGGCCACAGTCATGCCCTCCAGGTCCTTGTTCAGGTGCACCTGGCACCCGAGCCTACTGCTGCGCGTCACCTGCCCATCGGTTGACACCTGCCGCAGCCGATCCTCCTCTGCCTGCGACCGCGGTGGCAGCTTGTCCAGCCACTCCTGCGCTATCGACACTGGAAACGGGTGCATCGGGTTCACGGAAGTGGGGGGAGGGGAGGGGAGGAGGGGCGAGGAGCGGGGAGTGGGGGTGTGGGGGGAGAGGAAGAGGGGGAAGAGGGGGAAGAGGGGGAAGAGGGGGGAGAGGGGGGGGGGGGGGAGGGGGGGTGTGGTGGGGGCGTGGTGGAGGAAGGTGGGAGAACGTTAGTTGAAGGCAATAAGTGAAAGAGAACTTATACCGAAAAAAGGTAACGCAACAGCAACATGTGTAGTACGTGACAATGCTGGCATCTATCATTACAAAATGGGACAAAGGAATGGGGAAAAGGTGTGAGTTTCTTCAAAAAAGAAGCTGCTGCTGGCAAAGTGCCATACCCTATGTATTCTACAAAAAAAAGGGCACTGGCTGCTACTAGCTATCGCCTGATCGCCTAATCGACTAATCGCCTACTAATCTCCGGGCACCTATGCGCCTGTGCGCGCGATGCGCGCACGCACCTTGGCAGTTGCCGTTGCACGAATCCAGCTCCTCCAGCTGATGCCGCTCCACGGTTTCAACCTTGGAGCGGATCAGCGCAGACAGCAGCGTGCGCCCCGCCAGCCCCGTCACCGCGTGGCGGTGCCCGTCCGCGTCGATCGCGGTGAAGCGCACAGCGCGATCCGCCACAGTCGGCGCGGACGAGCCGGGCGCGACTGATGGAGACGTAGCGACGGAGGATGCGGCTCGGCGTGGGACGGGGAGAGCGGAGTCGAGGAGCGGGACGAGACGCGGAAGGGCGCGAAGCGCGGTGCTGGTGGTTCGCTGTGCCGCGCGGAGAAGCAGAGCCATTGCGACTTGGTTGTGCGGAGGCGGGAGGGGGGCGGGAGGGATACGCGCGGAAGGCGGAAATGCTGCGAGAATACGTTGAAGGCGGGCGGCGGAGGAGATGGGCGGGAGGTCGAGAACACTGCTAGGGAAGCGCGAAGCTGTGAAGGGCACTTTCTCCCCCTTGTTCACTTCGTGCTCGTTGCACAGGCCCCCGCTAAGCGGGAAGCAACTTCGAAAATACAACGGGTGCACCCGACAGAGGCTTAACTAGTTCAATGTGAATGTGGGTGTGAAAAGGATTACTAGATGAGTTATCCACTACAGTCAAGGCGTATGGTAATCTTGAGCCTTGCAGCCTCAGCTGAAGGACCCCAGCGATCGCTACCGTACCTGATTATAAGCACATCGACTTGGTGCTTCATGTCAAATGTTATTTCTATAAATAGAGAAAGAACTGCTGGTGGTTGTGAGGCTTCTGAAACTCAACCGCCTTCCACTGCCTTCCACCGTGACCATACGAAGTCCTCTCACAACCATTCCGCCACCATTGCCGGCCATGCCATGACCGGACACATACCCTCGCAAGTCCCACCCACCCACACAACGCTTCCCCAACAGTGCAGCACAGCAGGTTGCTCCCATGCTCCGGCAATATCATAAGGCTCGGCACTCCGGCACGCCAACAGATCCTGCTCACACTTGCAGGGGCCACCAAGTTCCAGCTTGTCTCACGTAGGAAACACGGGGCTATGGAGAGCAGAGCAGCCAGTGCTGAGGAAAGAAGTCGAGTACTAGGATGCTTGTGGTGCACTGTAACCAGCCAATCAATTCTGGGGTTTCTTTCTTGCAGTGGTGGGTGGAGCAGTTATGGGTGTGGTAGTCCTCTTCACTGCAGGGGAACCACACCACACCACACCACACCACACACACCACAGGGTAACGGGGAAGGGCAGACAGAAAGATGAAGGGTAGGTAGCAGGAACGGGTAGAGGGGAAGGTGGGGGTGAGGTTTGACAGTAAAAAGGCAGTCAGGTAGAGACAGACAGGAGAGTCAGCAACAGAGCACACGGGGAACACACGGGGAGTCAGCAGCAACCTCCATCCCCAGTTCCCCCTTTTTACCCCCATCGCTGATTCACCCAATAACCCCCGCATTCAAATCCCCTTTTTACCTCCACTTCCAATTCCAACAATCCCCAAAAACTCCCTCATGGGCCTGTAACCTCTCGCCCATTCCCCTCTCCCCTTCTCTTTCCCCGCTCAATAACCCCTCACCAACACAACCCCCCCCCCCCCCCCCCCCCTCATTCCAGAGGCAAAGCTCACATTAACTGAAGCGCCCTCCATGTTCTGAGTGGACTCTGGCGCTCCTGTTCCCCCCGCTGCCGAAGCAGCCCCAGCAGGAGCAGATGCAGCAGACCCAGAGGCAGTGGCAGCAGCAGCAGCAGCAGCCAGGGAGTTGGACAGAGAGGCCTGCAGAGACAGGTCCTGCAGCCCACCACTCATCCTCGCTAAGAGCATATCCATTAACATCTCCCCGTCTTCATCCAGCCCTTCAAATTGCGACGCGCCCAGCGGGCCAATCACCTCCTGCCCCTCCCCTCCCTCCACTCCTCCCCTCAACCCCCCCCCATCCACATGCACTGAACCCCCTTCCGGAACCACCTCCTCCTTCACATTGCTTCCTGCCACTGCTCCCCCGCCTTCCGCCCTGCCCTCTCCCCCCTGGCTGCTGGCGGAACGAGCAGCACCACCGCTCAAGCCACTCCCCGTGTGCCCGTCCTTGGGCCCCTGCTGCCGGAAATACTGCGCCAGCAAGTCATGGTTACTGGTAGAACCATCCTTCCCTGCTCCTGCGTCACTCCCATCTGCTCCCACCCCTCCTGCCGCTCCTTCCCCCATCCCTGCTTTCAGCAGTCCTTCATCATTCCACCCGGACCCATTTCCCCCTGCACTGGACATGTCACCGCTCCCCCGATGTCCTTCCAGCCGCATGCCTCCTGCTCCCCGTGCCGCCATGCCGGGTCCTCCTCCTGCGGCTAGCGTTGCTGCTGCAATGGCGGTGGCTGCTGCCGCCGCTGCTGCCGCCTCAGCTTCGTCGTCATCCATGTCCTGATGCGGTGGGAGGGAGTGAGGAACGATTGAGAGGGTAAGGGACGAGGGATGGGGTGAGGGACGAGGGAGGGAGGAGGGAGGGAGGGAGGGAGGGTGGAGCAAGGGAGAGAGGAGGAAGGGGGTAAGCAATAGTAAGGGAATCGCGAGAATAACGGAGAAAATGGATTCAAGAATTGATGGAATTTATGGGGCGATGGCAGGAAGGGAGAGAAGAAAGAAAGCAGTGTGGGGGGGGCGGAAGGAGGGAAGGAGGTAACGAGTCAGGTGAAAGAGGGATGGAAGGAAGGGGGGAAAGAGACCTCAAATGCAGAGGGGTCGGCAAGCGAAGCGAGGTTGCCATAGTCCATGGCTGCTAGCTTGCTGGACAGCAGCTGCAGGGCACACACCACACACGATGATGGCAAGGGGGACAGGGAAAGAGAGGTGAGGATGAGAAGGAGCTAGTGAGGGAAAGAGAACGAAAGGCCGGTTCAGAGGTAACGAAATGGGGAGCAGAAACGGTGGCTTTGATTGCAGGAAGAGGCAGGTGCGTAGGGATGTACATGTGCCATTGTACAACCGGCCATCTATGCAGCTGGACCTTGTACACGCCTGTACACCCTTGTACACCCCTGTACACCCCTGTGCACCCCTGTGCAGTGAACACCCTGTACGCCCCACCCCCGTGCATCCCTGTACACCCCAGTACACCCCTAAGCACCCCTGCACAACCCTAAGCATCCCTGAGCACGTCTGTGCACCCAAGTGCACCACTGTGCAGCAGCCTGCTGCCATTCCTCCTCGTCTCTCCCCGTGAGTGCGGCTCACCTCGACCTGCAGCTGCAGCGAGCGCACGTAGTTAATGATCTCGTCCAGCATCACTGCCTTGCCTGTCACCTGGGGGGGGGGGGGGGAAGGGGGAGTGGAGAGGAGGGGAGTGGAGAGGACAGGGTAAGAAGGTGTTAAAGCGCTCCAAAGATGCAGCGAGCGCACGTAGTTAATGATCTCGTCCAGCATCACTGCCTTGCCTGTCACCTGGGGGGGGGGGGGGGGGGGGAGGGGGAGTGGAGAGGAGGGGAGTGGAGAGGACAGGGTAAGAAGGTGTTAAAGCGCTCCAAAGCTGCAGCGAGCGCACGTAGTTAATGATCTCGTCCAGCATCACTGCCTTGCCTGTCACCTGGGGGGGGGGGGGGGGGAGGGGGAGTGGAGAGGAGGGGAGTGGAGAGGACAGGGTAAGAAGGTGTTAAAGCGCTCTAAAGCTGCAGCGAGCGCACGTAGTTAATGATCTCGTCCAGCATCACTGCCTTGCCTGTCACCTGGGGGGGGGGGGGGGGAGGGGGAGTGGAGAGGAGGGGAGTGGAGAGGACAGGGTAAGAAGGTGTTAAAGCGCTCCAAAGCTGCAGCGAGCGCACGTAGTTAATGATCTCGTCCAGCATCACTGCCTTGCCCGTCACCTGCCCTCCTCAGTGGCCAGGGGGAGGGGGGGGGGGGAGGAGGGGAGGGCAGGAGAGCAAGGGAGTAGGGCTTAGGGATGCAGGTTAGGGAAGGAGAGAGGGGCATGCATAACAGGAAATGCCGCCGAAACAGGAGCATGCAGGTCACATGGTGCATGAACCTTGTTTTGTTCTTTCTTTTCCTAGAAAGAGAGGATGAATATTCTACAGTTTCAAGCGACTGGCGGTTGTGGACGGTGTATCAAGGGTGATAGGACTTTTGGGTTTCTGAGGCTTGATGTTCATGAGAAGTGGGGTGATGACGGGAGAAGGAAGAGGGTGTGGTGGTGGGGTAGTAGTTGGGGGGTTGGTGGATGGAGGGCGAGGGGGGTTCACCTTGGCACAGCTGGGAACGAGCGCCTGCAGCACCTTCATGCGATCACTGATCTTCTCCCTCCGCATCTGCACGCACATACACATACACATGCACACGCACATGCACATGCACATGCACACGCACATGCACATGAACATGCACATGCACACGCACATGCACATGCACATGCACATGCACACGCACATGCACACGCACACGCACACGCACATGCAAATGCACATGCACACGCACATGCACATGCACACGCACATGCACACGCACATGCACATGCACATGCACATACACACACACATCCTCACACGCGCGAGCGCGCGCGCCCACACACACACACACATGGATGCATGGGAGGGAACATACGCGCACACATACACGCACCAAGGATGACAACAGAAAACGTCACGGGAGCAACAGTAGGTAGTGTATCCCAAGCGCACACAGAGTATCCTACCAGTACATAACACATGACAGCACCAAGCCTGACCAAGCCTAGCATGCTTCGTACCAGAAGCAGGCTGTATTTCCAACACCACGCGCACACAAGCATCAGGATGACGGTACAAAAAGACAAGGTAGTAACTTAGTAACAGCATGGGGCATCCCGTGAGCACACCACTGCACACACATTATTCCAGCACACCACCAACATATGACATGACATGACAGCACCAAGCCTGACCCAACCCAGCCTGCTACCAGAAGCAAGGCTGTCTTACCAGCACCTTCCACTCACCCTCTCCGCAATACTGTGGCTGTCCGTTGCTTGCCCTCTCCTCGCCCGCACATGCACCACCTCCCTCTCCTCTCCCCACCCATCGTCACCCCATCCCTCTCCTCCCCCAGCCTTCCCCGCACCCCCACTGCGCCCGCCCCCCATGTGCATTTTCGCCCCTGCACTGAGACTCCCCTGTCCCCGTAATATAGCTTCCCTACCCCCTTGCTCCCCTTCAGCCATTTCTACCTCCTTCCCCCCGGCGTCTCCCTCCCCTGAAGTGGGGTTTCCAGGAATCTGCATAGGGAGGGGGAAGGGTCAGGGGTGGGGTGAGAGGGGGGACAAAAGGAACGAGGGAACAGGAGAATGAGGGGCGGAATATGAGATAATGAGAGTTTGGAATCCTCGGCTGCTCACATGTATTAGCAAAGAAGAATGCTCAGTATGCTCACATTCCCAGTTGCCCGCAACTCCCTATCCTTCCGCCTGCACCACCCCCACACCCATCCCTGTCCCGCACACGCCCCATCTTCCCTCCCAGCCCCAAGCGCCCCACCTTCCCCCCTGCCCCACCCGCCCTGCCACACCCGCCCCGCCTTTCCCCCCTGCCCCTCGCGCCCCACCTTGCCCCCCTGCCCCATGTGCGCCATGACATCCGATGCAGTGGCGGGCAGGCGGCGCCTCTTGCGGTTGAGCAGCGCCTGTAGCATGTCCGCCTCCCCCGGAGGCATCTCTGCAGGACGAAGGGAAAAAGGAGTGGAGCAGCCAGAGCAGAGCAGAGCAGAGCAGCGAGGGCGAAAAGAAGGCGTTAATGAGGCGCTGCAGAACTTGAACTCCCGCTTGCGCTTGAGCAGCGTGTGCAGCATGCCCGCCTCTCCAGGGGGCATCTCTGCGGGGAGAAGGGGGGAGGGAGTGGAGCAGCCAGAAGAGTGGCGAGGGGACTTTGTGGCAGGCGCGCCAAAAAAGACGAAAGGGGTTGAGTACGGGGAGGGAGGGAGATGGTGAGCAAGAAGGAGAGAGAATGACGGAAAACGTGTGAGAGAAAGCATTAGAGAGGGAGAGAGGGGTTGAGGGAAGGAGGGAGGGAGGGAGAAAGGGAGGGAGGGAGGGAGGGAGGGAGGGAGGGAGGGAGGGAGGGAGGGAGGGAGGGAGGGAGGGAGGGAGGGAGGGAGGGAGGGAGGAGAGAGGGAGGGGTAGGGAGGGAGGGAGGGAGGGAGGGAGGGAGGGAGGGAGGGAGGGAGGGAGGGAGGGAGGGAGGGAGGGAGGGAGGGAGGGAGGGAGGGAGGGAGGGAGGGAGGGAGGAAGGGAGGGAGAGAGAGAGAGAGAGAGAGAGAGAGAGAGAGAGAGAGAGAGAGAGAGAGAGAGAGAGAGAGACCTAAGTAATGCAAGGACCATTCAAGAGAGAGGGGGGGGGGGGGGGGGGGGGGGAGACAGCACGAGGACCCACCAGCCATGGCAGCAGCAAGTCCTTGTTTCAAGGGCGGGCAGCTACTGGTTCTCGACAGCTGGTTGTGCTGCAGCGCTCGCCCCCCAACCTTTTTTCTCTGCTGCTGCTGATGCGGATCCAGCTGCGCCCCAGCGCTGTTCTCCTCCCCCATGCTCACTAACGAGCTTGCCCCGCTGCTCGACTGCCCCCCACTCGTTGCACTAGCCCCTCCCCCTCCGCCCCCGCCTGCACCCCCCCCCAGGGCCTTCCACAGCATAGCTCGACGCTCCACCTCTCTCCCTCCACTGGACGTCCGCTGCAGTGATGACACCTGCGCGCCTAGCCCCATGCGCCCCCCCCCCGCCCCCCGCCAACCCCGCCATTCCGCCTGACCCGCCCCCCACGCCCCATTGCGGGTAGCCCTGCAGGTGCTGCGCTGCGCCCTTACCCCCTGCAAGTGCTGCGATGGCTGCAGACGTAGCAGCAGCGGAAAGACCCCCCGACCCGCCTCCAGGCGGGGTTGGGGGAGGCCACCCTCCCCCTCCTCCTCCCCCACCACCAGCAGCAGCAACAGCGGCGGCGGCAGCAGCAGCAGCAGCAGCAGCAGCAGAGGTGCTGCCCATGCTGGCAGCACCGGCTGCAGCAAGGGCAGCTGCAGCAGCATTAGGGTTTCCTTGCGCGGATGATTCTACTGCTAGGCACATCTGCTCCAGCTCTGTGAGATTGCCCAAGGGAGGCGCGCTGGACGTGCGCGCTAGCGTGTTGGCCAAGTCACGCGCATTCATTCCCAGCACACTTAGATTATAACCTGGAATCCCACCCCCTCCCATGCCCCCCATGCCTCCCATGCCCCCTCCCCCCATCCCTCCTCCTGCTCCTGTTCCTGATGCAGCAGCAGCTGCTGCAGCAGCGGCGGCGGCATGGGCAAGTGCGGCAGCGCGTGTGGGGGAGAGCTGGGGGAGAGGGCGGGGAGGCGCACCCCCGCCCATATAACCCGACTTACTCCCACCACCCGCAGAGATCATAGAGACGTCCGCTCCCCCATCGAGCCCCCCTTCCCCTTCCGCAATCATTCCCCAGGTCTGCCCTAATCCCCCCCCTCCGCCTCCGCCCCCTCCTGCGCCTGCAGCGGCGGTGTGAGCTACTGCAGCAGCGGCGAGTTGGGAGCCTAGAGCAGCGTTGAGGGATGTGGTGCGGCGGCGAGCGAGGGGGGAGAGGGGCGAGGGGGAAGCGCGCGTGCGACAGAGGCGCGCAAAGAAAGGAGAGTCTGCAAATGTCGGCCCTGTTGTTTGAGAGGGGAGTGGGACGTATGGAGGTGAGAAGCGATGTTGGCGGGGGGGGAGGGTGGTGGTGGGGGGGGGATGGTGGCGACAGAGGGAGAGGCGGGGGGTTGTGTAAGAGGGTTGGAGGAGAACGATGCTGTGAAGCTGAACGCGCAAGTGAGAGTGAATCGTGGTACATGGGGAACATGTCTTGGAATACTTGTTACGCTCACTTAGTCAACATGTGGTGCAAAAGAGAAATAACCTGAAATGCTAAGGAAGCTCGACAGGACAGGCTCTTGATGCAAGTTGCACACACACACACACACACACACACACACACACACACACACACACGCACACACACTTACACACACACACACACACATTCACACACACACACACATTCACACACACACACACACACACACACACACACACACACACACATACACACAAACACACACACACATACACAGGCACGCACCTGCAGCACCATGGCCTCTAGCCCCTGCCATGTTGTTGCTCCCCATCATGCCCATCTGCCCGCCATCCATCATAGCCGAATAATCTGCGCCTCCCATCAGACCACTCTCGTCATATCCTCCCCCCAACATCCCGCCCATCCCCCCATTCATCCCCATTCCTCCCCCTCCAACACCCATCGCGCCTCCCATTCCCCCACCCATTCCCCCATACACATCCCCCGCCATTCCCCCGTAGATATCCCCGCCCAGCCCTCCGCCCATTCCTCCGCCCAAACCACCCGGCCCCATTCTCCCCGCCATAAGCCTCGCAAGCGACCCTCCGCCTTCCATTTCCGCTTCCCCTTCCGCCCGTTCCGCCTCCTCCACCGCAGCCAGCGCAGCCGCCGCCCCCGGCCCCAAAAGCTGCAGCTGCGCGACGTCAAGGCTCCGCGTTCGGCGGGGCCCCATGCTTCCGCCTCCGCCCTCCAAACCGGCCGCCGCCGCCGCTGCTGCTGCTGCCGCCGCGCCTCCTAGCGCCATAGGGTTCATTCCGGACGGCCCTTGCTGTGCTGGGCTGTTGTAGCCTCGATTCATCTGTCGCTGCATCGCTGCCACTGCCGCCGGCTGCTGCTCGCCGTCAGCCTTTCACACTCCCTCTCCAACTCACTCGCCCACCCTATGCCACTCCTTCCAGACTGCCGTTCCCGTCTTTTCCCAAACTTACTCCACCCTCCCTCCTGCCGTTTCCCACAGGAACTAACCCCCTCCGTTCGTCTTTACCTTGTATTAGGCGGCAACCTAACAACCTCCCAGATAGTCTAACAGCCCTAGCCTCCTCCTTCGCAGGCCGTGCTTAATCGTACGCTACCCTCTGCAGTCACGGTCTTACGCGAATCTGCTGCCCGTGACCGCATCGCTGTAGGACGCTGAGAAATGTCCAAGCGACCAACCAAACCCTAGCTGACACCATCCATGCGTGGCAGAGCCAATGCGTGCGACGCAGGAAGCAGCATGCTGTCTGTGCCTGCGTCGACGGCCAGCGGCGGCAAAAACACACACCTCGGCTTGAAGAAGTAAAAAGCAGTACAAAGGAACCGCCTGATGTGAGACAACGGGCGAAGCAAGAATAAACGGAAGGCAGGGAAGGTTGGAAGGGCGGAATGACTGAGCGAGCGCGCGGTCTCACGGTTCCGTCTTACAGAATAGGTTTCCACAAACCCGGTCCGGTAACCAGAAAGTTCCAGTTACCAGAAGAGCCCAGTCCAGTAACAAAGGGTATGGTTCCGGTAACCAGATGGTACAGCGATACGAGAGATAATCAGACGATGCGTGCTACTGTTGATCGAGCGGTACATAAGAGCTTCGACTACGTCTTCTGTCTAGGATTGAGCGTCGTGAATGTAAAGACAATAATAAAAGTAAAAACAAGAGTGGATTGAGGGCGTGTGCCACAAGGAAAAATGGCGGGAAGGACGCGCACGTATACTAAACAGACCGCGTTAGTATATATGGTTCTATGACGCTGAGTGGGAACGAAAAAAGGGAGCGCGGAAAATAAAAAGGCGATACTGTGGGGGAGTGCAGGCGGGACAAAACAAGAGATTGCAAGGGTGATATTTCTTCCAGTCATAAAAATGAAATAAAAAGAAAAAAGTTCGTCAAGAACGAACCTGGCGCGATGTCGTAGCTTAGCTTGGCAAGCAAACAGCGAGCCCGGCAGGGTGCCGAGATGCTCTACACAAGGAGCAGAAAAAATTATTAACACGAAGCTGGGGAGATGGGGGGAAGGCAAGAGCATTTCAAGGTACACATCCACAATGGGGATGTCTGCAGAGCAGAGGATTTGATGCTAGAAGATGGCAATCTCGAGGGTCACGGGAAAGACCGTAAGTCCACTTGAACGCACTAAAATCTTTTTTGGGTTGCGAGGTGTTACGGGTGCAATGAATCGAAGTAGCGAGAATTGCACTAAGGTGTCAAACGAGTACAAAATGTGAGCGAAGGCATGAGCGAACATTTATACGCGAAACATGCAAAACGGTAACGCGGTGCGTGCGAGCTTGCTAGTGCTACGCTGGAGCGAGGCTCGGGCTAGTCCCGAAGCGTAGGCCGATACGGCCATGCCAGCAGTGCGAGGTTTGGCAAAACAGTGCGCACGAAGTCGGCGAAGTTCCGTTAGCAGTAACGGGCGAACAATCGGCTGTTGCCGTACGCGATGTAGTCGGCTCCGTAAGGAATGCCGAGAAAATTCCTTACACTACCCCCCCCATTAAGAAGCCCCCTCCGCTACGCGAGTGCGTGTATATCGCGAAATCCCCGGCTCCTCAGGTACACTTGCAGGGCAGGGTGATTTTCGACGTTGCTCAGGGGCACCCAGCTATCCTCAATTGGCGTGCGGTCTTTCCAGCGAACGAGGAATTCAATCCTCCTGATTCCCGTGGGGTGGCGGATCCGATGGCTCATAATTTTTTCGGGCTCGATGATCGGCTCTGATGCAGGGCGAGTCATTGATTGTGGCCGGTGACGCGGCAATTGACTTGTGGTCGGGATGTATAGGCGAAGTAGGCTGACGTGGAACGAAGGGCTGATGTACCAGTCGGTTGGCAACAGTAGGTGCGCGGTGACGGGTGTGATCATGTGACTGATTTGGAATGGTCCACAGTAGCGAGGTCGTAATTTTGGTACGTCGGGCAGTCGCAGATTTTGCGTGTCAAGCAGCACGTAATCTCCAGATTGGTACGTGACAGGACGGCGGTGGCGATCAGCGTTGCGCTTAGCGATGACGTTGGCCTTTTTTATTGCTTCGGCGGCTCTGGCGCGGGCAGCTTGCAGGATTTCGGCGAATTGTTGTGCACGTGGCGTTGGGTTGTCCGGACTCGGCGTTATGGGCACTGTGGGGTTTTGCCCATAGTTCAGGTAGAACGGGGACTGCTGCGTCGTGGCTGATGTGGCGTTGTTGTACGCGAACTCGATCAGCGGCAGCTGCTGCTCCCAGGTCGTGGGGTCGTCACACGTGGCACGAATCAACTGCTCCATCGTCTGATTCGTCCGTTCCGTTTGGCCGTCGGTCTTGGGGTGGTACGACGAACTGAACTGTAGCCTGGTCCCGAACTGCTCCCAGAGGTTCTTCCAGAAGTTGCTGGTAAACTTCGTGTCCCTGTCGCTGATAATTGCTGCTGGTATCCCGTGCAGGTGAACAACGGCTGCGATGAACAGGCGAGCGGTCTCCTCGGCTGAGATCGACTTTTTGCACACAGCGAAGTGTGCCATCTTCGTCAGCCTATCCACGACGACCATCACCGCGTCGTTACCCCCAGGGTTCGAAGGTAACCCTGTGACGAAGTCCATGGTTACTTGCTGCCAGGCGCGTTCGGGCGGTGGGATCGGCTGCAATTGACCCGCCTTCCACTTCCTTGAACTCTTCATCACCTGACACGTCGGGCACGAGCCCACGTGCTGCTGTACGTCGGTCAACAGCTCCGGCCAGTAATAATACCGCTGCAGTTGCTGTCGCGTTTTTTCTACCCCGAAATGTCCCGAGGTAATCCCGTCGTGTGCCTCCTGTAGTAGCAGCTCCCTCAGTAGTGAGTACGCGGGTACCCAAATGCGGTTGGTGCCTGTTTTTACGTAATAAACTCCTTTTGCTTCTGCCAGTTGCTGTGAACTTCCGGTCGTGAAGAATGGGTCGGTGCGGTATCCGTGGGTGAATAGGCCAGTTAAAAGCGGGTTGGTCTGGGCGAGTAGGATGGCGTGGAGTTGGGCGGTGGGGCGGGTGAGAGCGTCGGCGATGTTGGATGCGCCTTTTTTGTACGTAACGGTGTAGTGAAAATTGGACTCGAGATAGTCCAACCAGCGAATCTGTCGTGGGTTGAGATTCGGTTGGGCGCGAAGGTACTGTAGCGAGCGGTGGTCTGTCCGTACTGTCACGTCGGCGCCAGTCAGGTAACATCGCCAAACTTTGAACGCGTGCACGATCGCTAGCATCTCGCGGTCGTGTATCGGGTAGTTACGTTCGGGCGGGTGTAGTTTGCGGGACTCGTACGCGATTGGCTGGAGGCCGTTCCCGAAGTCCTGCAACAGTACTGCTCCCACAGCGATGTCACTTGCGTCGGTGACGAGCTCGAACGGACGGTGGGGATCTGCAATGTGAAGGACGGGCGGGGAGCACAAAATATTTTTGAGGGCCGAGAAGGCAGCTTGCTCTTTCTCCCCCCACGTGTACTCAACCCCCTTCCTCAGCAGGTCGGTCAACGGGGCAGTCAGCTTCGCCATGTCGGGGACGAACCGGCGCACGTAGTTGACGAACCCCAGGAAACTCTGCAACTCGGTCAAGTTGGTCGGCGCGTGCCAAGCCTGAATCGTCGCAATTTTCTTCGGGTCTATTTCCACTCCTGCAGCTGAAATAACATGTCCCAAAAACTCCAGGCGGTCCTGTAAAAACTCACACTTAGATGCTTTGGTCAGTAGGCGGTTCTCACTCAGGATTTTAAAAACTGCTTCGATGTCTTGTAAGTGCTGTGCTCTGTCAGGGCTGTAAATCAGTATGTCGTCCAGATAAACGATGACGCACTTATCTAAAAGCGGGCGGAATGCTTCGTTCATGGTCATTTGGAAAGTGGCGGGGGCGTTGGTCAGTCCGAATGGCATGACGGTGTATTCGAAAGATCCGTAGCGTGTTCGGAATGCGGTTTTAGGGCAGTCGGGTGGATTAACGCGGATTTGGTGGTAGCCTCCCCGGAGGTCAATTTTCGAGAAAACCCGGGCTGTGCGCAGTTGGTCGATCAGTTCGTCGCCTCGTGGGATGGGGTAACGGGATTTGATGGTAACCCTGTTCAGTGCCCTGTAGTCGATACACATGCGAAACCCCCCGTCCTTTTTCGGTGTGAACAGTATGGGTGCGGCGAAGGGCGACGAACTAGGGCGAATGAATTCCTTTTCGAGCAGGTAATCGAGTTGCTTCCTCAGTTCGTCTAGTTCGGGTTGGGTCAGTCGGAACTGTCGCTGTACTGTTGGCTGTGCCCCCGGTTCCAGTTCTATCCTGTGATCATGCGCTCGCTGAGGTGGCAGTCCCGTCGGCAGGTCGTCCGGGAAAATGTCACTGTACTGTTTTAACAGTGCCGCCAGGTCACTTGGTACGTCGGTCAGCAGTTTCTGTAAATCCCCTCCCTTGTCTGCTGCCTCGGCTTCCCGAATGTCAACCGCGTACACGTCAGCTCCGGCCGCTACAGCGCGTTTCATCGTGATCGCATTGACACGCACCGACGAAGACTCAGGCGAGCCCCAACGAGGTAAGGCGATGTTGTTACCGTTCACTCGCACGGTGCAGTCACCCGTCGTCCAGTCAATTCGCGGATTGTGTCGTCGCAGCCAATCACGCCCGAGTAAAATGTCGGTTCCGTCGAGGGTCGTTGCGAGCATTTCCTGGCTAAACGTGAAGTTACCCCCGCATCGAATCCGAACTCGGTCTACGCGTTCCCGTATTGCCAGCGGCGTGCCGTCTACCAGTCGTGCGTCGATCTCAGGTAAGCATCTGTCCAGTGGCAGTCGCAGTTTCCGTGCTGTAGCAGTGTTAATGAGGCTGTGGCTGGCTCCCC